GACAGTCACAGATCATCTTTAATGTTACTTTGACACACGGTGTAACATTACATTACCATTACAGCAGCAGGGCAGAAATTATATTAAACGTGAAGGCAAGGAAGAAATAAATTTTAACCGTATACGTGTCCTCGTGCTGATAATGTGCCGTGCTTGAGTGGAGACAGGAAGTAAACACGATTTACGGTGCTGCAGTCCAGACAAAGTGCACCGGGATGCTTCACTTCGCCTTGTCGGCACATTATTGAGTGCCTGGCTAAAATACTCCTAAACTTTAGACGGTCGAAGGTGTGCTGTGAAAGGTGTGTTGCTGTGTTGTATCTGAAGCTCGTCTGGGGGAATCCCTGCTAACACCGCATGCAGCGATGCAGCGATGCTTCGACGCACGTAACACGAGTCGACGTACTTTCAATTAATCGATTATACTATGTTGATGAATCGCCCCAAGCCCCACATGACTCTGAGTTGTGGTTATTTAAAAGTATAATCAATGTATAAGAATTGAGACAACTCCACAGCTGTCAAATTCATACTCCATAACTGCTATTAGTAAGGACCCATTCTGCAACGGAATTTGATAGCAAAATTGGAATTAATTGTAAAACATGGAATATCGCAGAATTTGCCAAAATTTAGTTTCAATTCATTAAAATCGAGCTTTTCCCTATAAGCGTTTTTCCCCACAGCACTTGAGCCAATCAAACAGAAAAACTATGCCGCCATGTTTTTGTGTTTGCAGGCGCTGCTTCTGTCCTCCCTGTGTCTGTGTTTTCACGAGGGCAAGAGCTCATCACTTCAACAAACTCTCAGAAGTTCAACCACATCGGCAGATGGACGACGCAAACTTGTTGTAGCTTGTACAGACTACACAACTTTCGATGGTCGTTGGTGACAGGGGGTCACACACTGCTCGACCTGACAGCAGCTCCAACCCACGTTTTGTCAAAAAAAAACACGGGAAATGATTACACACAAAATAGGAGTTGTTTATTATCATAAAAATTATAAAGAAAATGGGTGAAAGAAATTGAGAGAGTAGCCTCCGTCAGATCCTCTTAGACTGTGTGTTCAGCAGAATTTGGAGACTTTCAAGTAATGCCCTGTTTGATAGAAACAAATTCACAATACATGTACTGCAACAATGCATTCATTGTGAATCGTCTATTAAATAGTATCTTTTCAATATCCTACTGTTGCAATACATTTGTTGTGAATTTTCATTTGAACAATTTTATATCGCATATTTGCATGATACATCAGATGCATTTTGAAAATTGTTTAAATTTTATTCATCCACCGCATGATTACACACACTTTCTGATGACTAAAACGAGCTGAAATTGTAAAACACAAAAAACGCTCAGTTAACGTGGTGAACACGGCCAGACCGGGACCTAACGCTGCCTCTGAGATACAGTTTGACGACCTAGTATAATATAATACCGAGGAAAATAAGCCCATGAGTAAATGCAAATTCATTTTTCAACCCACCCGCAACCCATCCACTAATAATTAGAATGTTAATTTATTTAATTTAATAATTATTTAGCAAAGTAAATGTTATCTCCTTCATCAGGTCTTGCTTGCTGTAATCATTCCTCCGTTTTAATGCCCCTTCCCATTTAAGTGATGGGGGACAAAATCCTCAATCTGTGCAACAATACTTTCTGAAGTTTATCTAAAGCTGATATGAGGCTTAACTAGTCTGAGTTAGACAGATCAGGAAGCTGTCTTTATAGTGTCCTCTTTTTGTTGCTGTCCTACGTCTCAGCAAGGAATTATCAGTTTGTCAGGACACAAACTGATAATTCAAGGTTTAGTTTGGAAGAAATCCACTTGATTTTACTTGTTCAGACTATTGAAAGCATGTTAAACGGCCAGTATCAATAGGAGGAATGATTACAGCATGTAAAAAGTATGTACAATTTATGCGTGATATCCTTTAACAAAGTAAAACAAAGAACATGCTGTGTGAATCTAAGATTTATTGGGTCTAGTTCTCCCAGCCTGACACTATCAGAGGCCTGCGATCTTCTCCTCTTCTCTTACTGGTGAAGTAAAAAACGACCCCAGCCAATAACACCAGTGTAACTAAGAAGGCACTGGCAAAGACCACGGTGCTGATGTTGGCATTGAGGATCTCCTTGATTACCCAACCTCCTTCACTCGATTTGGTGTCTGTTTGGAGAAACGGGTGTCTGTCTGCAGAAACCGGTGAAGGACTCACTGAAAGACAACAGGACAGTAGTTATTTTTAGTTTGACAGACAGACAGACAGACAGACAGACAGACAGATAGATAGATAGATAGACCATATTAACCTGAGATGGGCGTGTCAGTCTTATTCATCCCAACATTTTTATCATCCAAAATGGGAACAGCCTGTCTGACCAACCGCAATGGACCCTGGGTAATATAGTGGCCAACTGTCTCCCTGCTCAGCCCTCGCCTGCGCCTGCGGGATGGATTTCTCAGACAACCTTGGGAACATCTGGAAAAGGGATTTCCAGGCTCGCACAGGATGACGAAGCAGTTAAAATACACCTGTAAGGCGACGGTTTTTAGTTCAGAGGAAGTCAAGTAAACTTTTTCACCGAAAAAAAGTGCAGTTCATGTTCATCACAAGATCTCAGGCCGATTGTGTCGGATGTGGATTAGCTTTTTTGTGAGATAAAAGTAAGTCAGTTAAAATGCTGCATTATGAAGATGGAGAAAAATATGAAGCGTCTTGTGTGTACAAATGTTTCAAACGTGCACATTTAAGAGAATGATAAACTGTGAGATTTTCCTGACTTTTTAAGGCAATTTCTGCATTGATATAGAGCCTTATTCTCCATCCGTAAACAACACTAAATTATACAGTACAATGCATTTGCAATTCAGCAAAAGCCTTATCTTTTAACTATGAGTGGACTATTAACTTAGTGTCATTTACACTGGGGACGCTGGGGACATGTCCCTACCACTTTTTAAAATGACTTTTTAAAGCATAATTTGTTCAATATGTTCAGAAAAATAGCTTGCAACAAGAAATGTTAAATTACAAATGAAAATGCTTTGAGAAATAAGAAAACATGCAATGCAATTTAAATATAGAAGAAACACATGTGCGTTGGACAGGAAAGAAACTTAAGCAACAAATGCATTATATTCCATTGAATTTTTATATTTTGAATTGTCACCTGCCGCCTTAAATTTGTGTTGCCATTCATATAAAGACATTTACACCATAAATTGGTGCAGAAAATGTCTCCAGAATGCAGGAAATGAACCCCCAGTCCCCCCCACTCATATGATTCAGCATCATATTAAATATTATTTCTTCAAAACAGTGTTAAACTATCTTGTTCTCGTGACCAAAGTCTTTCATCACACCCCTAATCGCAGATCGCCACAAAGTGACACGCTTGAGCTTTAACCTGCTGCCTCTCAGCAGGCTGCCTAACTGCGTGCTCAATATTTTGGGATACATTTGATATTATTTAATATTCATGATCATTACCTGGTCATAGTTTCCAGTAAATTTGAAGACTTGAACCTCAAAGTTGAATGAAATTTGATCAGATGTGTGGACTTTAAAGGTCTCATCCATTATACAGCTGTGAGAAAAATGAATTGTAACACGTCACTCACGATCAAGGAAGTGCATGATGCAAGATGATTGTTAAGCTTAAAGGTGGGGTAAGCGTTTCTAATCCAATATACGTCTTTTTGCCAAATTCAAGAAATATCTACTCTATTTGTCACCGTGTTGGATTTCTCTAGAATCGCTTAATCCACCTTTAATTTAAACAATTTAAAATGAAAAGTCAAAAGAAGTTTTGTTTGTGATCACAGAAAGCATCAGCACTCACCCGTTTCTGATGAGGTCATAGTAGGTGGGGTTTTCAGGGTTGTCATCAGGAGTGGCTTTGCAAGATTCGACAAACAACTGCACATTTGGTATTTCCGTTTGAGCTTGAATGCCCATATAAATTTTGTCTAACAGCTGGACATTCACTGGATAGGCGTTAGCCTCCACTGTACTTGTAAAGTTGCTATCGTGGAAGATCTCAAAAGTATAGCCAAAGCTGCTGAAGCTGGACTCAGTGAAAATGTAGTCAGAGTTGTGGAGATTGTAGTAACTCGAGATGTGTATGGTTTTGGGAAACTGGCAAGAGAAACCGATCTTAACTGTCTCCCTTCGGATTATTAGCTCGTTGGGCAGCACGTAGGAGACGATCTCGTTCTTGAAAACGATAAAGTCGCCTGCATCCTGTATTCAAGACAAATTCAAGTGGTATAAAACCCGTTAGTGGCTGAGAGGAAAATGAACTTTCAGTGCCACAAAAACAACCTATAGACACTAGAATCAATGCAAATTAATGAGTTAGAAAACTTCATGGAAAATAAAAAAGTTTGTTTATATGTAATGTTTTTCCACACCTCAATTTTTGTACCACACGTGCTGAATGACATGCTGCCCAAGATGTGAGTGCTGTTGAAAGTGAGAGAGCACGACCGGTCTCTCAGCCTGAGATAGTTCTCGTCGATGCCAGGCATGGAAGCTTTCTCGAGGGCCACCGTCATCTTGTTGGGTGAGCATTCAACAGTGGCCTTTCCTGTAAATCACATTACACGTTACAGTTTTTCTCGATTGCTTGGACACATTTCTTGAAATTATGCCTCTTTTTCTCGAAACTCTAAACACTATTTTCAGGTTAAAATTGAACTTTCCACTCAAAACCATTCAATCGTGCTGAAAAACCAAACACACACACACACACACACAAAACACAGTCTTACACACACTGATGAGATAAATTCAACACAATACTTCAAAATCTGGTTATAAGTAGTTTTGCTTGTGATTCTCCCCCTCAGAAACCTTTTCACATGATGAACACAACAAAAGAAATAACAAATGTACATTTGCACACATTTTTTATTCCTTAGTTTGCTGTTCAGTACAACGCACCAGACAACTAATTATTCTGCCCCAGCGTCCCGTCCTTGGTCTGGGAGAGCCCAGAGATTCTTGTTCTCCACCTTCTTCTCTGCCTCCTCCTCCTCCTCTCTGGTGTCCTACACCTCTTCCTTCAGATTTCTCTGGATCCATTGTTCCAAAACTGAATCAACTGACTCCGGCCCTTTTATTTATCTATTGAAGCTTCTGATTGGTGTGTTATCAATTCTGGCTGTGTGTGTTTCCACCTGGGTAGCTGTGTGCTGATTGAGCTCACCCTGTGCTGACTGAGTGAACAATATTGAATGTCAGTGTTTTCTCAATGACCACGCGGTGTAGGCAATGAAAAGTGAAGGGATTTGTGTGTAGAGTTTTGGGAAATGGGTGTGCTTTTTGAAAAATGGAGTTATGGTTTTGAAATTTTAGTTCAATAGCCTGATTATAGCGTTGAAGCAATTGAGAAAAACTGTAACTTAGGACATCTTGGCTCAGACAGATGTGGCGCACAAATTATGTTTGCTTTATTGCCCTCCAATACAAATGTTAAACTTTGAGGGTTGAGTTACAACTTTGCCTGAAATTTAGATTCAGATGTACAACATGTATTTAAACCTGCATTAATGTGGTTTTCATTATCAAGTTAATATAACCAGGTGCAGATTGTACATTAATACCAGTTTAAAATTAGATCTAGAAATCTTGCACAATAGGTAATTTGTCTTTGCCTTTCAAAGTGATCCATACAATAAATTTCTTGGTCTGAACCACACCAGAAAGTGGCAGAGCGACTAGTCCAAGCTGTTGCGTTACATTGCTGAAATCGTATTCCTAACGTGCATATTCCCAAATTCCTTATTGCATCATTTTCTCTGGTCTTCCTGGTTGTGCTATTAGAAGCTTGATCAGAAAGCAGCAGCTAGAATCTTGGCAGAAAGAAACTTTGACCCATTCTGGCCTCATCTTGAGCTGATTTTAAGGTTCTGCTGTTAAGACCTTGCACCACCTCACCGATCTGAGCTAATTACAGCAGATACTCTCTCGATGCTGGTCTCCTAGTCAATCCTTCACAGCTTCACAGCATTTGCCTGCTGTTGCTTTGTAGAGTGTTGGAACCATGCTGCATGGTGATTCTTGACTTTAAATAAAACTGATTGGTTGATGCATTGATACAGTTACTGTCCTGTTGCTCACTCGCCTATTGTGCACAACTGAGTTATCAGTTTGTGTCTATTAGAAAGGTGTTAATGAGGAGATGACAATGGTCATGTCTAATTGTGTGTAAACCATGTCTCTGTTGTGGAGCAGTTTATGTTCCTACAGAGGAGGTTAAATTAAAGCGGATGGTGCAACTCATTCATTGAAATGAATTTTAAATGGTTCACATCCAGTCTCCTACTGTACCAACAGTTAACGTTTCCTTTAACCATGACCACAACTTTTTCCTAAAAGATTCTTGGGGTGGTGTGGGAGACCTGGGTTTGATTCCCACTGTGAGACATCCACCGTTGTGTCCCTGAGCAAAACACTTAACCCCTCGTTGCTCCAGAGGTGTGCGACCTCTGACATGTATAGCAATTGTAAGTCGCTTTGGATAAAAGCGTCAGATAAATGTGCAACAGCTTCATGCTATTCCTGCATTTGCTCCATGCAGACAACAGTCGCAGCCAGAAGGCGACATTGTGACCTACTGTATTCAATTTGTTTTTGGTTAATTGATGATTAACAAACCTTGAGTGATAGACGCTTGGGTCACCATGACAGCAACACACCTCATTTCCGATTGACTGAATGATAAAACAAAGAGAACATGTTTTAGTGCAAAATCTAAAAAGAAGAGCGACACTAATAGTAATAATAATAAAGGTAATATCATCTGATGCATGATGAAATGTACAATGAAGTATAAAATAACATTAAGCTGTTTTTGAAAACTTTAATTTAATTGAGAAGACATTTTTACTTTGAGACATGATGTAATACAAGCAGAGGTTGTGCGCAAAAAAAAAAAGGCAATAGAAACCCCAAAAATCTAAAATTAATAGATTCAGGCTTATTTCTTTGTTGTCTTTGGTGGTTAGTCATGTAGCATGTTCACAGAAACAACCGCTCTCAGCTCTGCTAACATGGCACAAAGCAGGAAATAATTACGCGCACTGTTCCAATAAATGTACATTAATTAAAGGACTCACCTTTCATTTGTCTCTGCAGTGAAGCAGACTGGGACAAATCTGTACAGGTCACTTTGTTTTGGTGTCCAGCTCACAGTGACTTCAGCTATTCCATTGTTATTATCTTTGGACGCTTTGGTCATGTTCTGGGGGCCGCTGACCTGGAAGTCAAAGATGCTTCAGGAAAATGGAGGCAAAAGGGAGGAAAGAAATATTTAGTGTCCTTGTTTGGCATGAACGGTTTTAATATTAGTTATATTTCTTTTGGCATGTCCATATTACAGGGTTCTTCTTTAGCCAAGTGAATAAATACCTAGCCAGGAGAGCCTGCGCTTGGGCATGAAGCTGAAATTTCTGACCCACAGTGGCATAAAGAACATCACCATGAGAAGGAGTCGTAGAGAAGAATATGGGCAGCGTTTGACCAGCTTCGCAGTTTGGTATGGGAGGAAGGACTGTAACACAGACACGAGGGGTTATTAAGACTGGGATTTCTAAAAAGAAGCGAATTACAACATAACAAAAAATTAAAAGATATTTGCAATATTGTCTGTTCCGAGAATATAATTGCAACAGTGAGAAAACCTACAAAAATACTGTCAAAATTTAAAAAAATAAATAAAATTAAGACAATAAAGTATATTTTGTGAAAAGGTTTATAATATTGCAGGTGTAATATTTTGAGAAAAAGGTTATTTTACTTTACAGTATCAATGAACTGTGTTTCAGATTAATACAGTATGTAAACTGTAAGAAAATGTCAAATAAAATGTACATAACAATGTGATATAGCAATGTAATGTCTAAAACTTTATTATCATAACTATAACAACTATATTCTTGTAATATTATGTTTTGTGATAGTGGAAGAGTTGCAAGATAACATTTGAACTCCCCTGTAACTTTTGTTTTATGGCTGTCAGGTCAAATCAGTCAGACAATCGGTCCAGTTGTGTCACTCCATCAAAATGTATATTTAATGTGTTTGAATCACTTACTCTCCACTGAGAACTGCAGCATTACTTTGCAGAGAGGTGGTGAGTTCATGTTGGAAGCCTCCCGATATACAGACGATCCATCTGCATAGGTCAAAGTGATGTTTGTGGTGGGGTAGTCCCCCAGCATCATCTCAAACACGTGGACACCAATGCCAACTTGGCCTGTACTTGTGAGAGTGCACGTGGTCTGGGAGGACATGAACAGTTATAGTATGCTTAGGTCTCTTTAGATACTGATCTTAGCAGCAAAAGAACTTAACTAAAATAATTTATTCACCTAAATGGTTCAAATATGAAGAAGGTCCTGATCTCTTGACTTCAGTTACAATAAAATTGTGAATTTTAAATATAAATAAACCCAATAAATATAGAGGCACACAGTTGATTTCCTGTTAGAAGACATTACTCCTATAAAGAAGCTCAATACATACAGCATGTCCACTACTATAATGTGAAGCTAAATATATTCAAGTCAAATCAAACATGAGTTATAAGAACATGATATCAAGTATTACTGCTTAGGGTGGCTTGAATGTCTGATCAGCTCCTGTAAGTGCTCTGTCAGAATGTGTCTTTACCACTAATTTGAAATGAATTACCTTATCCAGAGCAAAGTTTGAGGGAACTGCGGCGTCTGTAGTGAAGCTGCATCGCACATCATCTCCGTCTGGATCGTACGCCAGAAGAGGAAGCTTTGAGAAACAGTTCTGAGGCACCCTGCATGAAAACACAATGTTAAATAATTTAGATTAAATAAAGACTAAGTAATATAGGGTGTATGTATTAAGTGTGTGTGTGTTTTAAATAAAACTTGGAGGTTTTTACAGAAGAAGCTTCAAAATAATATAGATCACTGGAATCTTTGTTTGTTTGCATTTGGTAACTACTGGAAATCGATAATTAGAGATACTCTACATAGTTCTTGCACTGTTTTGATAATTTTTGTATTCAAAGAAAGTTTAGAATATTTAGATACATTTTAAAAAGAACAAAACATCCTTCCTTTACCTTTCACTGTTACAAGACAACCGTCTCTATCATCACAGTTATCATTTTCTTTTACAGTATTGTAGCAAACATGTAATGCCTGAAAATGGTTGACTCTGAATTGTTAACTTGTTGACTTGTTAATAGGAGCTATGCCACCAGATTAAAAAAAAAAAATGCAAAGAAAAAAGTGATGAAAAGGGAAAACAAATGGGGGGAAAGATAAAAATCCTTTTAATTAATTTAATTAATTAATTTCTTAAGCGTCAGCAAACAGAACTATATGCATAGAACTGTGAGGGATATAAATATGCAGTACATAAAGTTACATAATTGAGATTTTAATGTGAAGTATTTTATTTAGCGTGTAGTGTCCTCAATAAATGTGTAAATGCAATCTATAAAATGTAAACCTACAGTCTGTTTTTCCAGCCATCAATCAAAGGAGCCTCATTTACAACGAGTTGTGGCTTCCCTTTGCCTTGACAATCTAAAAATTAATGTTATCAGTCTATACATATTCTTCGTGTGAACAGAGAAAGAGAGCTGAATTAAGGTAGAGCTGATGAATGCAAAAATATTCTTTTGCTTCTCGTCCATGTGCAGTTACTGATCTGATATATCGCACTGGTGGGGTTTGTATTCTGCTTTACCCACAGAGCTCTGTTATTTGATTTTCACGTGTTAATCCCAGTTTGAAAAGAAAAGGTTTGTACCGTAAAGACGACACAGTTGCCGTCACAGGGCAGCTGTTGAGGGAGTATGAGTCAGATCGAGTTCCCAGGTCCAGATCGGCATAGGCCATCCAGTTTGTTTTTCCATTGACGTTTGACTCCCAGCAGCAGCCAGAGTCCCTGAAAGGAGAAGGTGGAAAGCGTTGTCACTCAGAAATATATGGATGCCACCCGCAAGAGCAAGGTTTGTCCACCAGAGGGCAACACACTGTTGGAAAGCCACACATCCACCACAGAGCACAGCAATCAGCTGACATCAGTTGTACTATTTATAACAATAAAATGTCTATTGTTAAACTGCATTGTGCCCCTTTTATCTTGGCGAGGTCTCATAACTATAAATAACAAATTAATCTTCATAATCTTTGTTTATGTTATGCCTGAAAGCTTGAAATAGCTGTTACAGAACCCCACTAGAGCTGATTAACATCTGTTTAGCAAAGAATGTCATGTTGTAATTTCAAGCAAAAAGGTAAAAACAACTGTGCGCAGTGTTTTGACACTTTAAGGTAATAGATGAGGGGTTATGGCGCAGTACTGTGCAAATGTTTTAGGCATATGTGGGGAAAGTGCTTTAAAGTAAGAATGCTTATTTAAAAAAAATAATGGACATGTTAATAGATTATATTTATAAATTAACAAAATGCAAAGTGAGTGAACAGAAGAAAAAATCTAAATCAAATCAATATTTTGGTGTGACCACCCAGTGTCTTCAAAACAGCATCAACTCCCCACAGTCCTCCTGTGGATTTAGGCAGCCTCAGTTGCTTCTATCGCTTCATGTATTCACAGACAGGCTGGATGGTGTTGAGATCAGGGCTCCTCAGTTCCAGGAGTCCTTGTTCTTCTTTACGCTGAAGATAGTCCTTAATGACTTTCGCTGCATGTTTGGGGTCGTTGTCATGTTGCAGATTACGTTTGGGGTCACTCAGATGCCTCCCTGGTGGTACGGCATGACGAGTAGGTATCTTGTACCACTCTCCGGCCCTTCAGTGAACAAATCTGCCTTCTGTTACAGACAGATATTTAAAATGATTCAGTACAGAGCACCTGCTGCCATTTTTCTGCACCCCAGTTTCTGTGCACAGTTGAGTCGCTTGGCCTTGTTTCCATATCAGACTTTTTGGCTGCAAGTCTTCCTTGAAGGCCACATCTGACCAGACTTCTCCAGACAGAAGATGGTGGACCAGGGTCACACTTTGTTCTGCAGCTCTGAGCTGGTGGCACTGCTGGACATCTTCAGATTGTGAAGAGAAGTAAGCATGAAGCGTCTTTCATCTGCTGCAGTGAGTTTTTGTGCTTCTTCACAAGAGCTTGGACAGCACTACTGGAAACACCCGTCTGCCTTGAAATGTCTGCCTGGGAGAGACCTTGCTGATGCAGCGTAACTACCTACTGCTTGTGTTTCTGTGCTCTGTCTTGCCACGGTGTATGAGTTTTGACAGTAAACTTCAGCAACCTCACCTTGTTACCTGTGTAACAACTGGTTGTTCCTCACACAGCTGTGGTCCTCCTACAGAGCTGTTTCTGTTCCAGTGAATGATTGGGTTTTAACCTACAACAGCAGCTGTTTGGTATCATTGTTTTTATCATACACCTCAAGATATGCCTACGAAGTCAGGGATTTGAAGTGTACCTAGAAGAATTTTAACTCAAATACTGTCTGTAAACATGTATAATTCGTATTTGTAATGGTTACATTGGACGGGCAGATTTTGATATTTCATCATGGGGCAGGGAATTGAAACTCTTCCACCTCCTGTGTGTCCCCAGACAACGACGATTTCACATTCAGTCTGCCAGTCAGAGACAGGGGAGATCAAGTGGTGGCAGGATGGGCAGGACAAAAATGAAGGAAAGGTCCAGGAGAGCGAGGAAAGCGGGAGAGCCGCTTGTGCAGCAGCATTGATTGAGAAGTCTTTGAGGCAACTCTGCGTCTTTGACCTTTTATGTTGGACTGTGGGCAGACTGGATAGTGACTCACTGTTGCATCTCTGCAGCACAAGTGGAATTACAAAACCGGACTGGCCAGGGCTAGAATGCAAACTTCAGTCGGTCTCTCTGCAGCACAATAAGACGTGTTTGACACGACGTCACAACTGTTCATTCCTCACATTCTGTTGATAATGTTAGTTCATTTTTTAATGTTTTAAACTAAAATCCTGGCCAAATCTTACACTTTGTACCTTTCACGTAACCGTTTGATAATTTTTTAGACTCATCTCCTTGACACAAAAGATGTGTGTTTTGTACTCTGATGTTTTGTTGATACATCAAAAGCATGAACTGCTTAGGCTCCATCATCACTACTGCGAGACCTTTTGCTACATTTGCACCTCCTACATAAAACGGAAAGGTTTTGACTTGTAAGTTACTGTGTATGTCAATCTGTTTTCCGCCGCCACGGCCGCTTTTATCTCCCATGTTACATTCAGCAACAGTCCCAGCTCGGTATTGATCCATGTAAAATAAAATCTGGTGCGGTTCTTCGTCTGCTTTCCTTTATTCTTTTACCAAATCTTCAAAAGTAGACCATCTGCTTCATGTTTACACTGGCACGCGCACGCCCAGTGTCGTTTTAATGAAGACAGAGATCAACTGTGAACGTAGTTGAAAAGCTGGTGTGGACGGAGATCATATTCATTTTAAAACCCCGTTTTTAATGGAGTAGTGTGGATGGGGCCTTGGTGCATGTGCATCTGATTAACACACTCACTGACGTTCATTCAGTCATTCAACCACAAGCCTTTTACACAGCAGACATTTTTGTTATACTTTTAAACAGACTTAAATGAAAAATGAAGTATGCAAACGTACGTGTTTTAATATCTGTTGCAGCCTATGTTTTTATTGAATGACTGATGACTGTGATTTGTTGCGTGTTTCATTGCTTGGTTATTTTTCTGTTTATTGTTGTGGTTGCTTTAGTTTTATTGTTGTCTCTTATTATTTGAGCTTGTAAAGCACTTTGTGACTTGTTGTGTGAAAGATGCTATATTAAATAAAAATCACAGGTGTGTCTAATAACATTAATGATGAGGAGGAACAATACCAGGACCCTGAAACTGAGTCAGCTGATTGGAAATGTTTTTATTATTTACAGTACACCTGTAGTTGACGTGCCAAACAGTCTTCTGTGAAAAGACCTATGGTTCATGAACATGCTGCACTGCATTGCTGGCATTTACGTACTTGGCAGCTTGACAGTGTCGGGCAGAGGAGGAGGTGGTATACTGTATAAGGCAGAGAGAGAGAGTACATGTCGCTCTCTCCTCAAATCTGACTTACACCTTTATGTATAAAGCAATTTAGGTTTGTTGTCAATGTACGAAAACAGAACAGCATGAACAGTAAATAGCACTCGCTCACACCTAATGCTGCCCTCTCAATATCAGGTGAAAGATAAATTGTCATTTTGTTCTTTATACTGTTTACAGGGCCAGAGTCAGGATTTTCAAGATACCTAGTCCAGATTCCCCCTGCAGAACTCCACCCATTTAAAACATTTTTGATGAGTCATCAACCAAACAGCCGAGTTTCTGAGTATTTTTAAAACATCGCTAATGTTGACTATTCATTTAACTTTATCGTCTAAATTTTCTATGTGTTGTTTCAAAGCTTTCTCTGCACTCTCCTGTGTTTTAATTCTGGGTGGAGAATCCAAAATTCAGTTTAAATTATTTTGGGGCTTTTTGCCTAGAAACAGTCAGATTTTAAGATATGTTCTAAAAATATATGAGTTATCCTTAGAGAACACATTGTGTTAATGTAAACTCATCATCAAAATATTACTTAGTGTCCTCAATTGTAGCCATGATCCTGACTGTATAAATTGTTCTGACTTCCTTTAAATCTCCTGAAGTGCCTTTTAAATTATTATTATTATCGTCCATCTTAATAAATTGTGTGAATTTTTGTTCTATTATTTGTTTCTTGTATTTTATTATTCATGTGTCTCTTTTCTGACTGCAAAGAGCTTTGTAACTTTGGAAAATGCTGTAAAAATAAAGACTATGATCATCAAATGTCACATACCAGTGTTTTACCTGCTCTGTGTTTTTTCATCACATAATGTTTTTAACTCCATTTATGGTCTTTACAGCCATTTTGACAACGATATGAGCCTCCGTGTTTAGCTTAAGTTTGGTTTAATAAATGCTGTGTTTTGACCAATAATGCTCTTCATTTTCTCCCATACCTGCAGAACTTTCTGATGTAATTTTGTCCTCGAGTTATGAGGAACACTGCAGTTGAAACACCAAAAATACCATTAATCTCAAAGGGCCTGATGCAAAATTAGAGTAAAATAAGACAGAAGAGTTGGTTCCCTGTGAGCTGGACTTACCTCAGAGAAATGGTTTTATTGGCTAAGATGGTTGCTGTTGTGGTCTCTTCCGACTGGCACCACCTGCCTTGGCCTGTGCTATCCTGGTCTGTTTGCTGGAAACTTAACTCATCGAAGCTCGTGCACACCCCGCTCTCACAGGTGTACGATGTCTGATTTTGACAGTTGCTTCTGCCGTTCTGTCTGGGATAAAAGGTCACCTACAGGGATTGGGAAAATACAGCATTGACACCATGTAGAAGTAGTTTAAAGCAAGTTTCTTCAGTGAAACACAGAAAACAGGGTAAAAAAAGAACATCCATGTTGGTTAATCTGGATTTTCTATTTTCTTTGTCTCAACAGCAGAGACGTGCACAGACATGTTCCTTACCAATTTATTTTAATTCCCTTACACTCACGCAATTGTTTAATACTCAACATTTTTCTACAAAATAATCAGTTCACAGAGAGACCGTGGTTTCTTTGGAATTCACTAGGTTTATCACAGGAGCAGGCAACAGGAAAGGAAACTATGCCACAATGAGCATGTTTCCTCTGCTACTAGTATATATTTAGAATAAATGACTGCACCAAGTTGAGGGACATAGTGTTACTAATAATTTGTTAATTTTTCCCAAGACAATAGATCCTTTTAATTCTTTTTTTCGTATTGGAATACAAAATACTTCAAAAATCAAAAGAACGCACACAATAACTGATGCTGACAAAGACTTTGACAAGGACAAGGGCTGTCTGTCTCATGTACAGATCTATCAGCTTACAACAAACTATGGAGAGATATTAGATGAGGAGCGTACCATCAAAAATTTAAAGTTACTGTTTTAGGCAGGACACTTTTTCATGCAGTGGTAAATTTTGAGATTTCGGTCTATTTTGCTTCCATGTGTCTTCTTTAACTCTAATGGAAAGAAAACTTCATAATATGCATTTAGATGGTGTTTGTTTTAAGCAACTGCCCTTCGTCGGTTTGCATCTGTACATCTCTTCTAAATGAACTAAAACAATCTAATCTGCACATTTAAACAACATTTCAGGGGAAAAGACTCTAGTTATTTTGTTTATCCTATTCGCCTTCAGTGCCTTGTCAAATGTGTGCAAATGGCCGCATTTTAATTTGTTAATGCATAATTTGCATATGAATGCGAGGATAGTAATTACAGACACACGTTTTACTGTATTCACCTGTAATGTCTCCATTACAGTAGGGGTATGGTTGTAACACTTTCTGCTTCAGCAACGGTGACTTGCTGATTTTTTTAGTTAGAGTTCTCAAACTTTCATACAAAGTACCCACATTTGTTCACTACAAATGGCACCAGTTCAATCCTCTACAGGAAAATCAGACCTCATGAGTTGATGTCAAATGCATTCTGTTCCCTGTATTGGGGTAGGTGGTAACAATAAGACAAGAGAAGCAAAAATTGATGCCACAACATATGATATGCTTAAAAACTATAGTGAAGTAAAAGAACAATGTTTCTCTCGCACTGTAACAGACCATGTCTGTATGTAAATTTATTTATAGATAAACCTACTTAATATGATAAATGATAAATATTATTACAAAGTACTTAATTAAAGAACATCTTTGTACATCCTTAGGTCTAATAAAAAAGAGGTGTGTGTCTGTGTGTGAATATTGTTAATCAGAGTCACAGTCAGTGCACATAAGTGGGCCGGTTCTCAGCGGTACGCAGTACAAGCACCTCTATATTTTACTCTTTGACGTACTTTTTTTATGTATCGTGGATGGTTGTGACACCTTTTAAAGAAGTGTTACAACCCACCCCGCACATGTCAGCCAATGTTTAGCTAGCTGTATTAGCATAGTGGTTTTAAATTAGAATGGAAAAAAATGCATCACATGTTGCCTAAGAAACTGCATTTCAATCTAATATAAGTCAAACAATTTTATCTGCAATAGTATAGATACTGAACAAAATATAGACTTGGTCAAAAAATTTACTTTCTGACCTGAAAATCAGTTTTTTCTCTATATATTATGAATGACTCCTATTTTATCTTTCATTGGTGGAATTGGTGCTGTTACAACTCTCCCCATGTTACAACCAGTCTCCTCTACTATATACATATATACAGCCCCCCAGAAAAAAAGGGCAGGTGCTTGAGCCCCTTTTGATGTCTACGTGTGCATTTGCCTGCTCAACAGGTTGTACAAATACCACAAGGTTTTGTAAAGGCAAGTCCGTAAATACTATGTAGATGACTGTGGCAGGTATGAACAACAGGCAGGTGTTTTAGAAGCCAATGAGAACTTCAACACTTTCTTCCTTTCTACTCTCTACATTTTCTTTTAACTCAGACAGAAATAAGTCAACCAGCGTAACTTCGTTGTGAAATAAAAAGTTAAATCCTTAGTAGCAGACTTATGAAACTGGTTTGCTTTTAATCATCTGGAATACCTCCAATGTTGTTTTGTCTAATACAATATCATAAATATGAACAAAGAGGATAGAGGATAATGATAAAACGTTGCGTACCTTAAACGTCCCATCCGTCTTCTTCAAAGGATGCATGAAACTAATGCTTCCTCCATAATAGCTGAGAGTGGAAGTAGTCCCCAATAACGCGAACAACAGCAGGAGAACTGCACCTGCCTCCATGGTGGCTTAAAAAATCTGTTCATGCAAAAGCTCGTTCAGTCAGTTCAAATCTCAGAGATGTGAGAGGTGGTTACCTTGGAATTCACCCAACAGGACCAACCAGATCTGCATCTTACTGTAACAATTTACGATGTTTTTAGAAAAAGAAGCACTCATTGTTGAGATCTTTAAGTAGTCAACGATGACAGATTCTTTGTTGGAGGACATTCAAGCATATGACAGTTGTTGATTCTCAGTAAGTGTTCATAGATTCAATATATTTTTACTAATAAATTACTAACAAACAGCATTTTATGTTGGAGCTCATTGAGGTGGAGACTTTGCACTAGTTCAATCAATAAAAAAATATCATATTTTACAACATATAATAGTAAGTAATATAAGTATGAGTATAAGTAATATAAGTAATTTATACATGTATTATAATTAATTACAGATATAGTTTTATTTTTATTTAATTTAAAATCCAAAATGTAGTGGAGTAAAAAGTACAATATTTGCCTCTACAATATTGGGAAGTAGAAGTGCCATAAAATGTAAATCCTCATGTGCAAGTACCTGAAAAGTTTAGTTAAGTACTTGAGTAAATTAACCTCATTCCACAACTGGCTGATGAAGAAGGGACACAAAAAAAACTATATATGAACTAAAAATCTATGAATTTCTGTGAATTATCTTAAAGGCCCCCAAAAAATCTGTTTTCTCAAGTAACTTGAGAGAGACGGTTCATGTCCTACAAGAATATGCCATTTTCTGCCAAAGTTCAAACAGGTTTGGTTATTTCTGTATTTGTGTTTTTGTCTACGCTATTTTTATTGTTTTGAAGTGAAATATATTTAACAAAATATGAATCAAAATCACAGCAAGGGGTGTATGTAAATGAGTTAGTGATTACACCTTTAAAAGTGGCAGTAGTGACTAGAGTAGAGAGAGTAGAGATGAAGTAGATATCCCAAATTGTTAGGCCTAAGAGGGTTTTATAAATAAGCATAAACCACTGGCTCCTAAGTTGAAACACGCTTTCTCAACCTCTTCTCAGTACATTTACGTTATATACATTTAGCTTACACTTTTATCCAAAGCATCTTACAATTGCCATATATGTCAGAGGTCGCACGCCTCTGGAGCAACCAGGGGTTAAGTGTCTTGTTCAGTCTTACAGTGGATTTGAACCCAGGTCTCTCACATCAAAGGCATGTGTCTTATCCACTGCACCATCACCACCCCTTGGCCGTAATGCCAAACACTTCAGGATTGAAGATGTGAACCTGTCAGTTTAGGTGATGAACTTTTATAACACCTCTAACCCCGAACCTCTAACATGCATTTCATGTGCTCTTCCTTTTCCTTACAGTTATCTTGTATTGATTGCACTATTTGTGAACTCTTACTTCTTTCCCTAGGTATTTAACCCATTGGTGTTATTCACACTTATAGCTTATATTATCACTTGTAGATCTCTTACTGTATTGATGCTTTATTGAGACTTGTATGTTGTTCCTTAAATGTAAGTTGCTTTGGATAAAAGATCATAATAGGCTTAACTTATTGGGAAATGGTAAGCCGAATCAGGCTCCTCCTATCGAACCATTGAACATTCAACTATTCGGGGTCGCCACTAATATATATATTCCTGTTTGAACACACCTTACATTTACATTTAATCATTTAGCTGACGCTTTTATCCAAAGCGACTTACAGTTGCTGTAATAATAATAATAATAATAATCTTTATTTGTAGAGCACTTTTCAAAAACAAGTTACAAAGTGCTTTAACAAGTGTAAAGACAATAATATCTGTACATGTCAGATGTCGCACACCTCTGGAGCAACTAGGGGTTAAGTGTCTTGCTCAGGGACACAATGGTGGATGGTTCCCTGTTAAACAAATATATTTGTTGAATAACTAATCGTCTTTGTCACCATCATTTATTGTGTGTGTGTGTGTGTGTGTGTGTGTGTGTGTGTGTGTGTGTGTCCATGTGAATACTAAAGAAGTAGCCTATTCAACAATTGCATGAGTGTGAGGGAATTGGGAATTAAAATAAACCTGTAAAGAAGTCAGAGTTGTGTTAATATATTAAACGTTTTGTTTAAAAAAAAATTTTTAAATAAATAATTAGAAGTGGTGCCCTTTTTTTTTCCCACTAAAGCCCTTGCCCCCCAAAATGTCTGTGCACGTCCCTGTCTATGGAAACTTAGGACATAGACTAAACTAATCTTTTTGTTTGATCCTGTTAAGGGCTTAATGCTAATTAGTTGAACGGCATATGATTAAATAATTGTAAAAATGGAGAAATCTATTTTTTAATTATTTTACAGCTTACGCACAAGTCATTTTTAGATTTTTTTTTTTTTTTTTTTTACGTAGGAATCTTACGTGTCAAGGACAAAATCGAGTTTGATCGATTTGGGGCACGCGGGGATCCGTAGTGACGCCACTTGTTGGAAATTGTCAGAGTGGCAAGATGGCTACGGAACCAAATAAGACCGAAATCTTAACCATTTTCAAAAGATTAAGATCCATTCCTACAAACAAGGTAACCGAACCAGACGCCGCCGTTGTGCGCGTATCGATCTGTTGTTAATGCGGCTTGTGTTGGCAGCTCGGCGCGTAGCTTCGTGTGTCCCGTTAGAAGCGATGAGCTGGACGGCTAACTGAACGTTAGCTAGGCCTAGCTGCACAGCTAACGGCTGCTAACGGCTGCTAGTCTGCCGGTAAAGCAGTCAAACATAAAGGCCACGTATACGATTCGTGTCTGCCGAGGAAGCTAAGCACCTAACCCACACTAGGTTAGGGAAATGACAGGAGAATGTGTTAACTGGTTGGACTAAAACTCTAAGATATATCTAAAATATATGACACGCAGTTTAGTAGAAATGTTGACGTTAGCTACACATTATCGTAACATTTGATGGTATTGATCCATATGTCGCTAGCGGTGTCAGAGGCGTTTTGTTCGGTTTAATATTAGTTTACAGAAATGTTATATACGTTTATTTATATTTTATAGTGATGGGGGTTTGGGTATATGGTTTGCAACAGTGTGAATCAGATTAGCTCGTTTTGTTTTTCGTAAAAAAGGACCCTAAAGAAAAAGGTAATGTTGGTTGTAAAGAGTCACTCTGTCCCCCTTTTCAATATATATTTTAAATAATGGAAGATAAGGGCTGTAACGTATTATTATATCTCATTATACAATAATAATGCCAGTCACTTTCATCATCAGCCAATTAATTGTTAAGTGTATAGGATTTTTAAAATGACAGACCAGAGGAAGAATCAAAGGGTGAGAACTTAAAATGTCTTGTTTTGCCTGATCGACAGTACGAAATGCAAAGAAATACATGTTACACATATACGAGAGAGAAAACCAGCAAATCCTCACATTTGAGAAAACTGCAACAAGATAATATTTGGCCTTTTTGCTTGACAAAAAGCTTGACTAATGCTAGCAGTGTGCTGGAAGGGCTGCCTGCCAGAGCCATATGTTCAGTTTAATATTAGTTTACAGTAACGTTATATACATTTTGATTTTATAGTGTTAACCCGAAGTGGTTTATACTGTACTGTAGGCCTGGGTATAAGGTGTCCAACAGTGTGAATCAGATTGGCAGGTTATGTTTAGTTTTAGTGGGACCCTAAAGAAAAAGGTAGTCTTGGATGTAAAGCGTCATTTTGACCCCTTTTCAGTATAACTTATAATTAATTCTCATTGCGCATTAATATGCCTATTCATTTCCTGAATAATCATTTAATTGTTTATAGTCTATAGGATTTTAAAGTGACAGGCCAAAGAGTCCAAGTTGAAAACTTCAAATGTCATGTTTTGTCTGACAATCGTATCCAACAGAGAAAAGCAGCAAATCCTGACTTTGGAGAAAACTGTAAGAAGATAACATTTGGCATTTTTTCTTGAAAATATTACTGATATGGTGAATTACTTGACAGTAGATTAAATGATCTAAGTGTTTCAGCTCTACTAGAGAGAAACACACAAAGACATTGTGGGCAATCCAAGATGTCTCAACACTTCCCCATTTTTTTGCTGTAATCTCAAGGTGGCTTGGCCTTTAGTTTTCATCCCATAATGTGATTACCGGTTGTTTTTATTATTATAGTGGGTTTTCCATGGTTATTGATGTATTTGCGTTTATTGCTTCCGCTGTTCCGTCTCCCAATGTGTCTGTGTTTTTATAGTTGGCACTTGACTTTAAGCAAATGATCACTATAGTGATACACTTTTTACATTAATATTTAAATTAATTGAAGTGTCTCTGTGAATGGGAACCAGAGCTCTACTCTACATATGGCACAGACTATGACTATTTCTCCTCATCTGTTGCTCTTCTGAGGTTTTTCCCTATCTGAAATGAGGATCAGTTCAGGCAAATCAGGTTGTTTAGACCTCTGAGGCAAACTTTCTTTTCTTTTCATGGCAGTTTGCCATAATGTGATAGTGAAAGTATGGTTGAGATGAAGGGAAATGTGGGGATGACATGCAGCATTGGTCCTGGGGTTACATGGTATGCGTCTTAAACACTAGGCCACTGGACGCCTACGCCAGCTACATAAATTAAAGCTGAAACGGTAAGGCTATATATTGATAGACAGAAAATGAATCTGTAACAATTTTGATAATGGACTAATTGGTAAAAGTTATTTTATAAGCAAAAATGCCAAAACTTCATTGGTTCCAGCTGCTGAAATTGGAGTATTAGTCTTTTAAGTCTGATATTCTAGTAGACTGAATGTCTTTGGGTTTTGGACTATTGGTCCAAAAGACAGAACAAGCTGTTTGAATATGTCAACCTGGGCTTTAGGAATTCATGATGAGCATTTTTTTATATTTTCTGTTGACGGACACGTGGTCTATAAAACACAAAATAATTGTCAGATTAATCAATAATGAGAACAGTCGTTAGTTGCTACCTTTAATAAAAATAAACAGTCTTGCCATGTATCAGATACATGCTACACCATCAGCCCGCCTTTACTGTAACCAAAATGTACTCAACCTTTAACAACAACATGGAAGAGAAAAACATGCAGTTCACTGCAGGTAACATGCTTTACTCACTAGACATGTTTTTGTTGTTTCACGGTTGTTGCGTTGCTTCGAAACAGTGTAATTACCCTTCCCATGTTGAGTACTTCTGGATTTCATAACAGCTGAATGTATATGCTGTTTGTCTACAGGTATGTTTTGACTGCGCTGCCAAAAACCCCAGCTGGGCGAGTATATCCTATGGTGTGTTCTTGTGCATTGACTGCTCTGGCATCCACCGCTCCCTGGGAGTGCATCTAAGCTTCATCCGGTAGGTTTCAGTGTACCACAAGAATGATCATAGCTGTCAGCATAACACCTTAGTGTTCCTGATTGACAGTTTTATTGAGCGATTTGAGAGAAAAGCATGAGCCCTACTTCACTGCCAGGTACAATGTATGCATTTCAGCTACCATCCGTGGTCAGAGGAATGTGGCATGTGAACACATTATACGTAACTACACAGACTCTTAGTGTTTTGTAAGGCTATAATCAGGTGTACCTAACATACTGGAGTGTTGACTCCATATTCTTCCCCTTTTCCCTCAGGTCCACCGAGTTAGACTCTAACTGGAACTGGTTTCAGCTTAGATGTATGCAGGTTGGAGGCAATGCCAATGCGGTAAGTCAGACTGAAAATTTATTAAAAACTGGATTTGTTTTTTATGTTAATGACTCATGTTCTATGCAGTGAAATTTGATAGTATTGTTTGGGCAGATTTCTGTGGTGTTTGATGTAATGCAATGACTTTCTCCTTCCGTCTGAAGACTGCATTCTTCCGCCAGCACGGCTGCTCCACAAATGACACCAACGCCAAGTACAACAGTCGTGCAGCCCAGATGTACAGGGAGAAGATTCGGCAGCAAGCAAATGCTGCGTTGTCTAAATATGGCACAGATGTGAGTATCGGTCACGTGGAAATGTCTTATCATGTAGCCTAAATCATGACTTCATTGTAGACCATGTGTCTGATCGATGCAGTCAGCAGCGGCCTGCCAGGCTATATCCTGGGCTTTATCGATAAAGCTACAGTGCAGTTGCCTTTTTTGTTTATTATATCTAAACATCTAACAAATGAACTTTCAACTTTTGTTCTGTGGCAATGAAAGCAAACCACATTTCAGCCCGTTTGTAACTTGCAGGAGTACACATGCCATCTGACGCAGCACGCCCGCCTTTATTAATCCTAGCTAATCCTGCAATGATTAATCAGTTAGTTGTCACCTATTACATTAATCGCCAACTATTTGATAATTGATTAATCAGTTTTAGTAATTTTTACAAAAAAGAAAAATATCCCCTCTGATAAACGCTTCTTAAATGTGAATATTTTCTCGTTTCTTTGCTCCTCGATGACAGAAAACTGAATTTCTTTTGGGTTGTGGACAAAACAAGATATTTGAGGACGTCTTGTTGGGCTTTGGGAAACACTGATCGACGTTTTTCACCATATTCTGACTCTTAATAGGCCAAACCACTTATCGATTAATCGAGAATATAATCCACAGATTCATTGACAGTGAAAATAACCGTTAGTTGCAGCCTTACACTCAGTGAACCCTTTATTGGCCCTGGAACATTCAGAGCAGTGTGTGTTTGCATTAAGGTGCCTGTGTCTTTTATTCCGAACACATATCCCTCCCCTCTCACCCACTCTGTGCCTGTCAAATAAAGCACAAAAGCTTGAAGCAATCTTACCAAAAAACACAAACCCATTGGGAACACATACAGTGAGCATTAGAAGTTTATAACAACCGAGTGGCAATATGTTTCTGTTTAGTAACACGCACTCAGTTGAAATAACAGAAATGAACCTGTGTCCTGTGGATGGTGGACAAATTACATAAGAGTGGTTATCTTTCGTGATTATCAGTGTCCGAGCCATGTTAGCAGATCTAGTTCAGAGTCCAAGGTGTGTAGTAGTGACAGTATGTGATGATCACATCATAGGCAGTATTACAAACACAGGTCCTGTGTGAACATAATCAGTGGAGTTGTCTCATAGTAATAACAAACACTCTTCTTCTCTTTGTTGCAGCTGTGGATTGACTCTTCTGCAGGAGGCACTCAGGCGGCTCCTGAGAAGAAAGAGAGTGACTTTTTTGCTGAACATACACTGGTTGGTTTGTTTTTGCAAGGTCATGACCTGCTGTGTCTTTAGTATTATTAGTTTGTGATAATAAATAAAAGTCTCATATGCAGGGAATGTTTTTTATTTGTTTTTTTAAATTATTTTAGTAAAGGAGGAATTATTTGAGGTTGATATTGAAATTCAACAGTTTAAAAACATTTAGGCAAATATTTTATATATGTATTTTATAGTTTTTTATATAAATATATTCAAACATTTTGGAAAAGGATCCCTTTAATTTGAGAATTAAAGTGTTGTGACCAAGGTGGTAACTGTAAAAGTCACTGGGAATTGAATTAGTATCAATATCAACTGCGTAGGTTTTGCCTGTAAAAACACTAAAACTATAATCACCATTAAATGACGTAGTGTGTTTAGCCTGCATTAATAACACATTGTTGACATATCTGTACTGCAGTAACCCTAGCCCTATGTTACCACAGCTGATATAGTGTACGTTTTGAATGTACCTGGCTTTATGAACTCTTGTACACTTAATTGAAAATATTATTTATTTATTTATTTTTATGTTTTCAGCCTGCTAACGACTGGAGCATGGCGCCGCACTCTGAGCCAGAGCAGAATGGAGCCACTGTCACTCCACAGCTGACGGACACAACGGCCAAAGGCCAGGATGACAACCGTTAGTAAAAGAAACCTATATATTACTGTCAAAGGTGCACTTGACCGATTTTATTTTCATGAGGAGAACTACTCAGCCTCTGAAAACAGTTGTCTTTTGTGGCTCTGGGGGGGGGGGGCTGGCAGGACTTTACGAAACATATTAATTAACTCAACATTAAACTATATCAGTATAAATGGTATTGTCTAATTTTAGATCTCTTTTGAAATGATATCGGTACGTAGATTCTGCAGTACATAACTGGGTGTATCCAATTTGACTGCAGCTGAAATATCAGCCTAATATATCTGGAGATGACACTCAATTTAGATTATTCAGCAAGCTGTGGAGTAAGAGTCAGGAATATTTTGTTGTGTTGCTTGAAATGTTTTTAATTTGGTCCTTTCTAGAGCCAGAAGAAGGACCCAGCATCGACGGTCTGAGCACATCACCCAAAGCCTCCATTGGTGAGTCTGTTAGCTTGATTCTGCCTCCGTGCGTAAAGGAACAAACCTGTTGTAATTTTTCAGATGGTCATACTTGCCTCTGTCTTTCTGTCTCTTTATCTCCAAGAGTTAAACAATAATCCTTAAATTCTTTGCAATAATTATCTGCACAAAGACAAGAGAATACCTGAACCCACTTCGCTTGTTTCCCATTTAAATCTGTGTAAACATGATTGACAACTTTTCACTTTCAGAAGACCATCAAAGGTGAAAACATTATCGCTTATATCGAGTAAGAAGAAGAATCAGCTATCAGTGTGTACATACTTTGATTGTCTTTGTTCCCGTCAACATGTACTACGACTGTATCTCACTTTTTATTCCCAAGATGTTCAGAAAAGGATCATTTTTATTATCGATCTGCGATCAGCGATTATTTTCTCAAAATTACTTTCTCAGTATGAAACAGAGCAATCAAATAGTTTTTTTTAAAAAAGCAGTGAATCACCATAAGAGGGCGTAGAGTATACAGTGGGGTTGGGCAGATCATCCAGCGGCGATGGCTGACGGACATCACGATGCTGAGCCGCCATCATGATTGTAATTAATGCACGCAAGACGACCTCTGTCAAATGTGAAAGAATAAAGTCACAGTTTTGACGAGACCAAAGTGACGTGTTGAAATGTCAAATTGGACATTAAATTAGTGTAAGAAGTGTAGAATGTCATTTTTTATTGTTATTGATTATGTTAAAGCGGCTTCTTCTGTGTTTTGGATAATGATTGTGGTCACTGGTTTGTCCTGTCGTGTAGAGGACTCCATGCGTTTGTCATCACTGGACGGATCACTTGGGACACCCAAAGGTGACGAGTGTGGCCATATTGTTGTTTGCGCTGGCTGGTTTATACCTCAGACGCATGTTTCTGTTGCTTGATTGACATCTCATCAGCCGCTTTCCGTTCTCCCACCCTCTGCTTACCACGTAATGGAAATAGCTCAGTTAGGAGGGCATGTGATGGTGTTAAAGCTATTTGTGGTACGTCTTTTGACGTAAATCTTGGTATTCTCAGTCAGACAAGGTCAATGAAGACTGCTGCATTGTGTAAAATGAGAACTGTCATTGTCAAGGTGTCTTTTATCCCTGCAGGTATCTTCCATGTGTGGTTAAGTATTTGGCCGCTAGCATAAGTCTGAAGCTAACATCTCTGTGACAAATGGGACCTAATAATAGAATCAGTCACAATAGTCTGGTGTAGCTGAAAGATGACATAGTGTAGGAATTTAAGTCCCTGCCCTCCTCTAAATATGAACATTTTCTTATGATGCAAAGACTTCTGAAGTCAAACTGACTGACTAACACCTTTTTGTAATGAGAGCTTTCTCAAACTGTCCGTCTTGCTGGTGATTTTGTGAGACCAACGTCAAAAGCTCACTTTTAAATGTGCTGCTCTGACTTACATGTCCTCACTGAGTTTGGAAATTAACAATAAAAAAACAACAAAAGCCATGTTTCTTCTGAGCTGCTGTGTTTTTCTTGCTTTGATTTCAGGCAATTTGAAAAGTTCTCAAGTTGCCTTGTTGGCTGAATGAAGGCTTAAAAGTAAAAAAAAATATATATATATGTTTTTGTTTTTGTTTTTTAATATTTCCACTTGTGTTACAGATGTGAAGCCTTCCATCATTGGAAAGAAGAAGCCCATGGCTGCCAAAAAAGGGGTGAGTCATACTGAGTCATACTTTCACCAAACCCACAAACCTTGTGTTTTTTTGGGAGCTGCCATACATGATGGTCACTTTGCTCACATGGAACATGAGAGACGACATAACGCCGTAAAAATACGGGCACATAAACTTCACCAGTCTGGTACGCCACACCAAGGGAACTCTTTCAGATTTTACATATCTAAGTCTGTTTACGGGTCTTGGGGGAAACTACTGCATATATAATAAAAGCTACCGTTGCACACAAGAATCCCTGACTGAACTGTTGGTGGTTGGGTTGCATTGTGGGTAATGTATGCAGGGTTTTTGCAAGAGTTCTTGTTTTTCTGCATTGATTTTGACTTTATGTTATAACTGTCCATCGTCAATCCGATGCAATGCTAAAGTGGTGCAGTAAACATCCCATACTGCTTTGCAGAATAATGTCTGATGTGTTTGAAAAATAAAAATAAAGTTGGGTCATAAATGATTTAAATTACTTCTATTCTTTCTCCCTCCTTTTCAAATTCAAATTTTTTTCATTCAGAAGTTTAACTGCTGGACAAAATGTCTCCTACGTCACTGGTTTTGATGTTTTCACATGACTTTTGTGTATTGTTTATCCAAAAAAACTAGTTGCGACGTAACTAAATAAATCCTGCTCGTATGTGCACATTTTAAATGTTCCTGTAACCACTGATGCACACTGAGATTCAAAGGTGCCGTAGAATACTTCAGGTTTATACTTGTATTTAGGGTTTCTAGTAGAAAATGTTTACATGCTTTAATGTTCGAAAAAAACACATTATGTTAGCTTTGACGGCTAGCTGCACAGTTAGCCTTGCAGCTAGCAGTCTTATTGCTGATTCTGCCAGCCTGGAAGCTTTGCGCTCGGGGGGGTACAGCAGCCTTCATAAATCACAGAGTTGAGACAGAGCAGCCGGAGGACATTGAAGGGAAAACCAGAAAATATTTACCTTACCTTCCTAACTGTAAAAGCGCTTAATGAGACGTATGACTGCTTCTCTGGAATGTGGGCTGGTCTGTGTAACATTTGGGGACGTAAACATCCCAGATGTTACGTAACATCTAGCGCCTGTTTTTCCGGGGGGCTTTTTGCATGCTCGAGATTTAAATCTGAAGGAGGAAACCGCAGAGATTGAAGCTCACGGTATGTCGGTTCCATGTACTGAACTCTTGGCATAGTTAATTAAAAAGAGTTCTATGGCCTGTTTAATGTGAGCACTGAGAGTTTCCTTGCGTCAGCTGAAGAATGTGAACGAACGTGTGTACATCATTCCGTACAATGAAGGCCATACATCACAGCGAACGTAAACAAAACACGTGATTATTAGCGGAGGTGGCTTTAAATTGACCAGAGGATGCACTTTAACCTGTAATATCTAACTTTAACCTGGAGCTAATCTGTGCACCACATTTCCCACTGTTGCAGCTCGGTGCAAAGAAAGGTCTCGGTGCCCAAAAGGTGAGCAGCAAGAGTTTCTCAGAGGTGGAGAAGCAGGCTCAAGTAGCAGAGAAGCTGAGAGAAGAGCAGGCCGCTGAGGCCAAGAAGCAAGCTGAGGAGTCCATGTAAGGAATTCAAACATATAATCTGATTTCTCTTATTTTCATTTGTGTAGGTCTCTGTTAAAACAAGGATTAATTTAAATGACCTGAACTATAAAAAGTTCACTGCTTATTCCGGTCAGATTTCTTTGTTGTTTCTGTAATTTAGGTTTTTCAAAATAAGAGACAAAACACACACTGTTATGAGGTGAAAGTGTGATTTAAAATCTCTTCGTCCGCCCGCGCTGACAACACTCGTTATGGCTATTACAGTGTGACCTCGATGCGTTTGGCTTACAAAGAACTGGAGATCGACAGGAAGATGGAGGAAAAAAAGCTTCAGAACCTGGAAGGCAAGAAGCGAGAGCAGGCCGAGAGACTGGGCATGGGCTTCGGCAACAGGAGGTAACGGCAAACACAATCTTTTGTCTAGCCGAGGTTTCTCTGCAGATGATCAACTTTCATTAGTTGGAGCAGTACTCGTTTTCTTGAACCTGACATCTGGGCCATTAGTAGGGCTGGGCAATAAAACGATAATGATAATTATCGCATTACATTATTATTCAATATATCGTCAATAAATATTTGCTTTAATTCATTTGAATCGCAAACAAATTAGCACCTAATTTTTCTATGAAAATATTTATTTTGTTGAAAAAAGAGGCCTGAAAAAAGATTAACTAATCATATTTGTTGAAAAAGATAATAGTTTTGAATGTTGTAACTCAGACTTGTGAAGTGATCCGCTGTTTGGCATCAAGTGTTTGTCACATTCTGACCATAAAGAAAAGTTTAACCACATAATTAACCATCTGGTTTCTTCAATTTTCACTCAGGAGCAAGAATCTGCCTTTAAACTTGAATAATGATTTGACATATGTTGTGATAATTATCGATGTTTTTTATGGTGATAACATTTTTGGCCGTATCGCCCATCATGGTTGAGGCTTGAGTGGTGGCGAATGTGTAATCATCATGTGTGTGCTTCCTGTTTCAGTGCTGTGTCTCACTCAGTGATGTCAGAGATGCAGGTGATTGAGCAGGAAACTCCTGTGGGAGCCAAGTCCTCCTCTCGCTCCAAACTGGACATGTTTGATGAGCCGGGTTTCACCTCTGGACCCCCGAAGTACGTCTGACTCCTCTCAAACTGCACCTACTTATTTACTGGCTTCAGTTTAAATCACTCAACCTGCTAGATTGAAATATTTTGTACTTGAACCACAAAAAAGAAGATGAAGTAGGTCCCCAGCAGGGACTCTGTTGTTAATCTGTTGTGCTTGATGTTTCAGATATAAGGACAACCCGTTTACAGTGGGAGACAGTTTTGGATCCAGGTGGGATACTGAGGGAGGGACCGCCTCCTTTACCACCTCCTGGGCTCTGGAGAAAGAGGACCCCAAAGAGGAGGTCACCATCTCTAGTATTCAGCCAATTGGAGAAAGGTATCTACACAGATGTTCATGCAAACGCACACGTTCAGCCTCTGTTTGGTATTAGTGTCCACTGGACTGGGCGCCGCTCTCATGCGGTCTTGTGTTTAATCCAGACTTCCCAGCAGAAGAAAAGCCGAGGTATCAGCTCCGGTGTCCGAGTCCAGTGAGGCCAGACAGAAGTTCGCGAATGCCAAGGCGATCTCTTCGGACATGTTCTTTGGCCGGGAGAGCAGCGCGGAGGTGAGAAACCTCATCTTCACTTCAGTTTAGAATAATAACTAAACTTCACTTACGTTCAAATTCTTGACCGCTGTGAATTCAAGCAATAATACATCCTCCAGAAATTTTTGTTCTACCTGTTTATTTATTGACTGCGATCTTCTCCCAGTATGAGGCGAAGACAAGACTGGAGAACATGTCTGGAAGCACCTCCATCAGTTCAGCTGACCTGTTCGGGGACGGCAGCGACCATAAAGGTAAGACGTGTTTGCTGTACGTAAAGTACAGGATAATGCCCAAAGTGTCCCCAAAATCCCGTAAAACGACCACAGCAATTCATGTCAGGGTCAATGTCTGTAGTCTGTTAGTGTTGATAACTTGACACTTTAGTTTTTAATCAAACAAAGGATTTGTTAGGGACTATTTTCAGCGGCGGATGAATCCACATGTGGCGCTCTAGTGAGTATAAAGGGGCAGCAGGACGGTGCGAGTCAGAATAAACTGCAGTGTGTGTCGTGGTGATGAAGGAACGTGGGTTTTCATGGAGCTCTGTGGCTTTAGAGGAAGAGGAGACATCAGGCTGTGAGGCACTCAGTACTTATTAGTAGAGGCATTAACTGTTGGTTTTGTGCTTTAAATTGAATTTGTTAGGGATAGCGTAAATGTTTCCTGTTTAATTTATATACAGGTTTTAAATTCTTCCCTCATGCCACGTGCTGAAACTGAAAACAAACCTTACGTATGGTATTATGACACAAAGTGCTGCAGACGAGTTCTGTGTTTCTTGCTCTCAGGGAGGGCGTCGGGCTTTGACAGTGTGCTCCCCTCCGGGCCGGACATCGCACAATTCAAACAAGGAGTCAAGACCGTAGCGGGCAAGATGGCTGTCCTCGCCAACGGTGTCATGAATACAATCCAGGTGGGACAGTCATCCTTTTTAAATTGGAGAAGCTGAGGAACGGACTTGTCATTTGGATATCTCCCGTTAGCCTCTACACAAATGTTTGCTCACTTTTTCTGGCTTTGTTCATGTTTTCTCAGGATCGCTACGGCTCCTACTGATCGGCCCCGAGAGGCTAGCAGCAACCTGTGGGAAGACATGCTAACTAACGCCTGTGTAGAGCCAACCAGCCTCCTCACTGACACAAGCATTTTGGCGAAGTAGATGGGACGAGAGCGAGACGGGACGCAGAAAGGATTGCATGGGGAAAAGAAATCGTCCCTCTCGCTCGTCCTCTTTTAGAGACAATTTTACAGGAGTGAAGACAGCGTTTTCTTCTCTCATTCTCATCTGCAGACTCCTGAGTTTTATTTTCATAAAGGAAACGATTGAAAGGTGTAATCTTTTCTAAACCAAGAGTGAAGTTGTAATTTACTGTTGAGATTTTTTTTTTTTTTTTGGGTCTTAGTTTTCAAACTGACGTCGGAGTTAATTCTACTACATTTTATTCCTTATACATAAAGTGTTGTTTTTGATTGATATTATCAGATACTTCATTCTTAAGATGTTTCTTTGTTTTTGTTTCGTTGTGATATTAAAAAAGTTGCAGTATATATTTTCAACTTTAAGGATTAATTTGAACAACAAATCCACAACGTTGCATTCAGTGTCGCTGCTGTACACTTACACTAGAGTTTGTCCACAGGTTGTTGTTTTTTTTTCATTTACATAAAGCACTGTCTTGACGATTTCACACAATTTGTGAGCTTGGACTTCTGAGCATTTCTGCCTGGGTGAAAGTATATGAAACATTGGAGCATCAAACATTTGATGTCCTAGCTGCTAGGGTTATTTATTATCTGTCTTTTTAAAAATGGTTGAACACACAAGTGGTCCAGCGTCTAATTTGTTGGCCACGGCCGGCCCACTCGTGTTCCAACATACATGACAAACGAATTAGAAATTAGTGATTAAACCCAAACAGTAGTTGTAAAAAAAGAGACATCAAATGAGCATGAAGTGTCATTTAAAGTATTTAGATAATAAGGAAAACCTTGATCCTTGAAGTCAGAACGTGCAGAGTCCCAGCTCATAAAACCATGACACGGTTTTGACTATGCATCACCATGTTACGACCTTCGAAGGCGTCTGACTTCGATGTCTTGCGGGTTGAATCTGAAGTCTGCCTCGGTGTACCTCAACCCCCGAAAAAAAAACCACCACATTTTTCCTGCCTTTTTTTTCCCTCCCTCAGTAGTTTAACCTTTTTATTTTGGAAGGCTGATGACTGAAAGTTTACGGTTTTTTTCTGCTCTGTTTCAGACGTATTGGCCAATGAAAAAATATTCCTGATATTCACGGTGTAAAACAAATCGTAATGATTGTACATATAACAGATTTTGAGACAAAATCTTTTGTCTTCGGGAAAAGGAACCGTTTCAGTATTTCTCTAATACTGTTGAACTGAATTTCAAGTGAATACAACAAAAGCCGTCTAGTATGAACCCTTGTGATAAACCACTTCCTCAGCGAGGTGTCACAGCTTACATCTCTTACCAGTTTCCTGATTGTGATGCAGCTAAACCTCAGTACCTTCCCCCTGTGTGTTCCCGGCAGACTTGACATTCAACAAGTTTTTGAAAGGCCTGATGAGAGGTCTGAAAACCGGTTTGTAATTTTCTTTGATAGATCAGATGGTCATATTTTTTTTTTTTTCCTAGCGTGGCCATGCCTGTGTATGTCCCACCCGTGATAAACTCTCCGAAAAGTAACCCACATGTGGACTCAAAGGATGAAACATTAAACTATTTATTTGTAGGCTACAAAAAGAAACTTATTCGGTATGTTAATAAAGATTCAAAACCTCTCCTGTGTCATTGTTTCCAGCGGTAGTTTTCAGTAGCTCAGTTGTTTGTGTGTGCGCGCGCCCTCATCTCTGCAGGAAAACTCTCCAACATTCAAGTAGAAACTCAGTGCCTGCTGGTGAAAATGATGTGTTGAGATTTTGCTTCTCCATCATTGCTCAGCCTCTTCTGGACAAACAATGCTGCAGATTTTGACAGATGACACGAATGGAATGAAACCATAAGATAAAGAGACTGCTTACAAAAATATTCTGCCACGTAAAAACTGTCACAGTATAGATAGACACTGGCATAAATCATGAAGTTGACGCACAAAGCAAAAATCTTAGCATTAATCAAACCAGTCTTGTCAGGAACGGTAAAAATCTGATTACTGAACATAAAGTCGTAATCACGTCCTGTTTATTGCTAACACTGCCTTCTAAATCAATAAATGTAAATAAGAAGGTCCTCGCTGAAAGTGGTAATCATTTCCACATCATTTTATCAGATTTGTGGGGAATTAAGGCAAGTGTCTCTGTCCCTGGGCCTGAACGATCCTTTCTTTGCGGTTTTCCTTGTTGAATTGCAAACATCAGAGATCCAAAAACCTCCAGCGGGTTTTATCCCCAGTTGTAGAAGTAGATTTTCTGCCAGGTGGGGAGGTAATCCATCAGAGGGCCTGAACAGACAGACAGCAGGATCAAAACAAGGAACAGGAAGGTATGCAGGAAGGAAGGTATGCAGGAAGTGTGTTATGGACTAATAATATGTGAGTGGGATAATAGATTGGAAATACACTGAATGGAGCTGCTGATCAGAAAGAATTCAGTTAAGAGTTCTGTTCATAAAATACAACTCTTACAATTCTTTTTAAGTCGCAACGACGGTAGTCAGTTATACCTGGGTCATGATTTTATCATTCTAACTGAAGTGTATTTGTAGGCAAACTATGTGACTTTGAAATGATGAGATTTTGAGGGTTGAAGAATTCAACTGACAAAACACATGTTCATGCGCAGTGAGTGCACGGGCAGAGTACGTGCAGGACAGGAAGGTATGCAGGAAGGTAGAATGTGTTTATTACAGTTCATTTCTGTGTCAGAACATAAACAAATGCTTCCTAAACTCCTCATAATTACTAACTGAGCATGTTTTTCCTCCAAACTGTAACTGTCTGTAAGTCATAATTTTAAAATACTTCCAGGGGCTTTAGAAAGCGGGTTTGTAGACGTCAGCATCGTGCAGCAGACATGACTACAGTACTTACGTGCAACGAGGCCTATTCCTGGAACATGATCGGCCAAAAGTCTGAGCAGGAAGAGGATCTTCTCCCTGCAGATGAGGAACAATGCCACAAATGCTCAAAGACAATTTAAGCACCAACAAAGTACTAACAATTGTGTCTCTTCTGCTATTTTACAAATATTTTAAACTGAATTCATTCATCCTTTACGTCTTTTTGCAGAGTTAGGTTATCTACAGTATCTCACAAAAGTGAGTACACGCCTCACATTTTTGTAAATATGTGATTAAATCTTTTCATGTGGCTGAAGAAATGACTCTTTGCTCCAGTGTAAAGTAGTGAGTGTGCAGCTTGTAAATTTGCTGTTCCCTCAAAATAACACATCACATAGCCGTTTATGTCTAAACCGCTGGCAACAAAAGTGACGACCCCTAAGTGAAAATGTCCAAATTACCGTTCCGTTTATTTATGGGGGGGTTTAGTGTTTGTGTACTAGGTTTGTTATGTTTTTGTATTATGTATGCGTGGACCCCCTTGAAAACAAGATGCTGCATCTCAAGCTGCTATCCAATAATACAATGAAATTGAAATATAGGGCTGAATATTAATCCATTAGCTGGCTGACAATTAATTAACGGTTTATGTATTTTTTTAAGCTAAAGTGTCAAATATTATCTGTTTCCTTCTTCTAAAATGTGAGAAATTGATGCTTTTCTCTGTTTTATGAGTGTAAATTGAATATCTTTGGGGTTTTGGACTTCTAACTGACTGAATGGCTGACTTATCTATCCATCTTTTGTTTTATCAGACCAAACAAGTTTTTTCATGTGTACATTTTTGGTTACAGTACACCACCGACCAGACATCCAGAGATACTTACTCAGAGAATTTGTCATAGAAGGGTGAACGAAGAAGGTAGTACAGCAAAACAAAAGTTCTCCTCCTCATCTCGGCCTTCTCCCATCGATTTTGGAATTTTCTATCACTGAGCACAGCAAAGCTGAAATAAAAGGAGGGGGATGAGATCCTGAAACGATATTTATCTTTGCTTTATGTTTCAGGTCTGACACCTTAAAACAAACAAGATCCTGAATGACTCAGAAGAGACGAGTCTGTTTTGTTTTAGATAAATGTATAGCAAGCAGCCTGTGATCTCTGACTGCGTTTATGTACTTGAAGATGCTTGAACAATTTAGAAATGTAAGAGAGCTTCTGAACATTTTTTTACTATGTCTAGGTCTGCTTAAATGAAGACTGAAGGCTTTTCTTTTTACCTCTGACCTTTAATTAAATCAAATGTACGGCTATAGATCAATATCGTACACTGCACTTTGACTTTTACTGTCCTGTTTTACCCCGTTTAAAAATTATTCCCTATAATGCCTTTATGTTTTATGTAAAGCACTTTGAATTACCTTGTTGTTGAAATTAAATAATACATTATCTGGGGGACAACAGTCTTTGCAACTAATGATTTTCCTTTTTTTTTCTTGGTACTCATTTATTTTTATTTATGATATATTTTTATTTTCCATTGTATGTCTTTTGGACCGGGCGTGTGTCCTTAATAAAAGCTAATAATTTATAAATAGCTCATATATGACCCTCCACTTCTAAATCAAAACTTCCATTCATATCCTTACATTAGCGAGAATGATATTTTATATTATGTTGTCCCCATATAAGAAAAAACTGTTAGAACAACCTTAGAATAAAACCTGCTGGACAATTCAGCCTCTAGATTTAGATAAATCCAAAACTCCACACAACTGAAACTTTTTTCCAAAGGCGTCCAAAAATCTTTAGAAAACTTGCGCACAGTTTTGAGACTTAATTTTAATTTGCAAAATAATTAAACATAATCAGTATGAATGGGAACGAGTATTCATTGAGAAGGGGGAGCTTGCATACCTTGAAAGTTCGAGGACTCCAGAGATGAGCCACGGCTTCCAGGACTGTTTTCCACACAGTCCAAGACAGAGGACTGCAGTCAGGAGGGTTTGCTTTAAGGAGAAATAGTATGTCTAATAGAAAAAGGTATCCAGTAGGGCAAACTACAGTAGAATAAAATCTAATAACAAATAGTTATGTGTATCAACTTTTAATGTTATGCTTTTAATGTTATACATGTAAATGGCTGTAAGACATTCAAGGGTCAAGAAGACATTGATAATTTCTTTCAAGGTAAAGTAATTATGTTTACAGGCTACAGGTAATTATATATTGTTTTGTTTTTGGGTAATTTGTATAAATGTAGGCAAGAGCATTTAAGATGGTCTTGAATGAATACTTCAGAATATTGTTTTTGTATTATTGTCTTTACACTTGTTAAAGCACTTTGTAACTTGTTTTTGATTTGCTCTACACATAAAGATTATTATTATTATTTACAATGTTTTAAATTTTACACTCACTTCATGCAGCACACGGGTGGCTTTATACATACATATCTTGGGCCTTTGCCTTTATTTAATAGAAACAGCTGAAGAGAGACATGAAATGTGGGAGAGAGAGAGAGAGAGAGAGAGAGAAGGAATGATATGTAGCAAAAGGCCGTGGGCTGGACTCAAACCTGCGTGCTTTTTAGTTCAACATGTAATTATGCAACTGGAGTGACAATGAGGGAAGGATACGGTGCACGAGCGGCCGTCCGATGTACACAGACTCTGCAATGGTCTCCTGAAGTCCCAGGTGTGTTGGTTTGCTGTTGAGCTTCTCGCCATTTAAGCTGCTGCTCCTCTTCTTCTGACTCGGTGCTCCCCACAGACGGGACTGCAGGGAGGGAGCTGACAAAAAGAGGTGAAGAGGTGAAAGTCATTTACAGGGTGGTCACTCTTTTAACCTCCCTGTTAAACACGGTCCCAAGATTAAGGTCAAGGTCTGCTTTTCCTGACTAACTGCAGTATGAACAAATCAACATGACATCGGTTAGTTTAAAAATGTTCTTCATATTTAATAGGCCTTTTCCACAGCAGACCTTTTGTCAAAGTATGAAGACCCTGAAACTGAAGCAGCGGCTAAATGGAATCCAGCATGTTACTGTAAATTAAAAAGGCCACTTTCTGATAACACAGTTACAGAAAATAGGGCGGGTAGAGAACACATTTAAAAGTATTTTAGAAGGTGCAGATGGTGTAAAAGAGAGGAAATGTTTTATTGTTTGTTTTGTTTGTGACTGGACTGAAAAGACCTGAAGGTGGCAGTAATGCGACACCATAGTTGGAAGAAGAAGAGGAAGAAGAAGAAAAAGGCCACTTTTTATTACTTGTACAATTTGTAATTTAATCTTCAAACCTGCAATAACTAATTTTTTGGTGACTTGTGGGCGACGAAAACAAGCTGTGGACACATCACTGACACATGCTGATATGGTGAACTGTAACAAATACAGAACATTAGCATTATTCCAAAATTGTGTTTCCACCTGATGCATGTAAATCCAACATCCTCTTTGCTTTTAGCTCTGTGTTTGGTCTCCACCAACTCCTGTTCTGCTGCTAAATGCTCCACATTGTTTACCAGCTAGTATTTAACGGTGTTTGTCTGGCTGCTGAGCAGGTCGTGTGCAACAGCTGCCTATGAGACAGTATGAGAGTGGTGACAGAGAAACAAAAATATAAAGTCGGAAAAACAAAACAATGAACTAAAGCACCCAGTAGAGCTGAAAGAAACTACAGAATCACATGATGTTTCTATGAATTTGCCACCAAGAGCAACGCATTTTACATAAACATACTGTTATCCACATATTAATTACAGCTGCTTCAAGTTAAAAGTTATGTTTTGTGATAAAAAAAAACATAATTAGATTGACACCAAAAGCTCGGCTGATCACATCTGATTGATAGTATTACAGACTGTCGCAAGGACATATGTTTTCAGGGCCTTTAAACCAAAGAGTAAACACAGGGCAGAAAACTGGAGCTTTACTGCTCTCTGACTGTTAAAAATGTACATCTCACTGTGTTCCTTTGGCCAAACCCCAAACAGTGACGTTACATTTTGCCTTCAGGCGTGGAAGAAAGAGACGTCACTGACGGCCAGACGTTTAACATTCTTCAAAGTTAAGAGAGCAGCAGGTTTCTGCCCCATGTGATCGTGTGTGGACCCTTAAATGTAAAAGTTGAAGTTGTGGTTATTAAGCCAATATCCTTAATGTCAATGACCTTTCAGAAACTGAACTCAGGCAGGTGGAGTGATTTGTTGTTTTTGCAGGAGCAGAACCTCGCGAACAAGAAGCATGCTGTCGGCTAGCAAGAACTTTTTTTTTAGACCGTCTTTTCTGTGTTCCTGGCAGCAGGCTTTTGTTCAGATGGAAACCAGACACTTCCGTGTTTCCTACCACCGCTCAGTCACACAGGTGCTTAATAAGCTTAAATTGCTTTAAGTTTCAGGCAATGTAAAACTTGGACACAATATTGCATTTCTATTTTAATCAACTACAGCAATAAATAAAAAGAGTTTTAACCAGTCTTACCGCTGCCAAGCGGCCTAATGGCTCGTCCTGACCTCTGGCCCACAAAACATGTGTCATCTTCCTGCTCCCTGTTTCCATCATCTGTGGAGAAGAGGAAGGAAAAGCAGTAAAACCTCATTCACTGCTTATACATACATCACTTGTTCAATGCACAATGAAGGAACTGAGAAGCAGCACCTTAGAGATTTGTTGTGGTGAACGTCTTAGCAAACATTTGCCTGTAGCAGAGATTTTTAAAGCTCTAAATAGTTTTATGGGAGGCACATTGAAAGTTAGTTATTACATTTATTATCAAAAGGGGATACAAAATAGCTTAAATATGTGTAATTAGGTTAAAGATATACAGCAGTTTTGGGGAATTTAGTTTTTCCCACATCCATAGTAAACAACTATGTCTCTTCGTTCTGTCCAGTTAAATATGGTGTGCCTCAGGGGTCGGTCTTAGGACCCATTCTGTTTTCCTTGTATCTGCTTCCCCTTGGACAGATTATCCGTAAACATGGTATTTCTTTTCATATTTATGCTGATGACACACAAATATACTTGCCCGTCAGATCCACAGACCCTGGAATGCTGAGTTCACTTAACAACTGCCTTTGTGAAGTTAAAAAATGGATGTCAAATAATTTCCTCCAGCTGAACTCAGACAAAACAGAAATCCTGGTCATCGGGTCCCAGCAGATGGCAAATCAAATACTGCCATCTGCTGGTTCCCTAGTAAATCACATTAAGCCTGTGGCAAAGAACCTTGGTGTTTGGTTTTTTATCAACTTAGAAATATAGCAAAAATTCGACCTATGTTAACTTTTAAGGACACCGAGACCATTTTACACGCCTTCATCTCATCACACCTGGATTATTGCACCAGCCTTTTCACCTGTTTAACCCAAAAATCTACTTATCGACTCCAGACTGTCCAGAACTCAGCTGCCAGTCTTTTAACCAGAACAAAGAAATATGACCACATTACTCCTATTTTAGCTTCATTACACTGGCTCCCAGTATGTTTTAGAATTGACTTTAAAATTCTATTGATCACTTTTAAAGCTCTTCATGGCCTCTCGCCTTGTTATATTTCTGACCTTTTAGTCCCATACGCACCAGCACGTACCTTGAGATCCTCGGGCAGAGGTCTGTTGTCTGTTCCAGAGTCTCGACTGAAAACTAAAGGGGACAGAGCGTTTGCTGTCAGGGCCCCGAGGCTCTGGAACAGCCTGCCCGAGGAAATCAGGTCAGCTGAGTCAGTGAACTCTTTTAAGTCCCTTCTTAAAACATACTTTTATAGGAGAGCTTTTCCCGATCTTATTTGACTTTATTTTATCCCTTTTATTTTATTCTATTTTAATTATTTATATTTATCTTAAACGTGTATTTTAGTCTTTTCAATGTTTTCATGCTTTTATCTTGTATTGTTTTTGTATTATTGTCTTTTGGGTATTATTGTCTTTACACTTGTTTTTGAAAAGCGCTCTACAAATAAAGAGAGCTGATAGAGCTGGTAGTTTTTTTTTAGCTGGAAACAGCTGAGAACGCTGAGACTGAACCAAAACAGTAAATGTGCTAAAATCAAAACAGCAAGCTATAAGAGGCTCCACAGCGAGAGGGGAACTGCCGAGTCGGGTGATAATTCTCTGTGCGTTCATCTCTACAAGCCACTCCTTTCACACTACATGTAGTTATTTGACTCCACTGTTTAAAAAATATTGACATGTATGTTTTAGAAAGTGAATAATAAATAAATGACTACAGCAGCTCTGTGAGTCCAATGCTAACATGTTGATGTGTGAAGCGGTTGATTTGTGAATACACCCCTTACGTAACTTCCTCTTCTTTTTTGTTCTCATTAAAGATCAAGGACAAACATTTTAGACTGTTATTTATTAATTATTTTAATTTTATTCAAGTGTTTATTTCGAATATATATGTATAACAGAAACATCAGACAAGAAATAGTCATTTAAAAAATCTAAATTATTAAATAACAAATTAATAAGTTAATATTTATAATAATTACAGCCAAAGAAATGTTGGAAACTATTGTCAATTACATATTTAAAAAGGAGTGGGAGGAAGAAAAGAAACGTGTTTAATCCCACACCGTGTCCACAAATCAAATCTACCCGTTCTCCAAATTAATATTTAAACATCTACTTAGTCATACCCAAAAGCAATTCAAAATGTACAACATTATGTTCTCTGGAACAGCTAGTGAGGAAGAGGATAACTGACCTTCAACAAATTCTGCACCTCTGTCGAGGGGGATTATAGGAGGCGAAGTCTGGATGCCAGATTTGTACCACAGAAGAAGCACGATGCGAAAAACTGCCCTGCAGATCGATGTGAGGAGAACATTTGGTCAGAGAGGAGAGTGGACAGGGAATGTCACAGCGCTGCATGAAGCATGTGATATCTTTTCTCTACATTTCATTAAGGGTTATTACACTAGATATGACAACATATGTAGTTTCTATTTAAACATTTGCTTGTAAAACCAATAAATAATATTAAACAAAGCACACACTTTGACTCTATTTACTTATTAAATTCTATTTTAATTCTCATTTAATTTTCTTAGTTTATTTTACCTAATAACTTTTCAATGCAGACTCTTTTATTACTATATGTATATTAGATTATATTTTAACACAATGGTCAAGCACCTTGTATTGCTATTTGGCACGAAAGCTGCTATACAAATAAAGTCTGATTGATTTATTTTGTGTACTTTTGTTAATGCATACCATGATAAAGCATACCACCCTTCGCAATTGCTGAACATGCAAGTCATTAATCTGCTGCTCAAACAGCCTCCACTCTTTATATCAGATTATGTAATCTGGCTGCAGAGATTTGCTCCCGTTCACACAGACATGAGCATCAGGGAGGTCTAACACTGGTGTTGGGTGATGAGGTCTGGCTCACAGTCAGCGTTCCAGTTCGCCCAGTTCAAAGGTGTTAGATGTGGTTGAGATCAGGGCTCTGCGTAGGACAGACAACTTCCTCCACACCAAACTGGGAAAACTATTTCTTTATAGAGCAGCTTTTTCATTTTCATGTTGAAACAAAAAAGGAGTCTTCAACAAAATGTTGCCACCAAGGAAGTTGGAATATGGGCAGGGGTGTCCACATACTTTTGGCCATTTTTTTTCTATTCTTAAATGGCCTTTTTAAAATAAAGTCAGATTGAGAAACACAAAAAGTTGAGCTCAGGAAAACGTACTTAAAAATCTGAATGAGTGTGATCACCAGCCAGCGTCCGACTTCACCCCACAGTTTGCAGGATCCCATCTCCAGGAAAACCTCCACGGACTCCAACACGGACAGCCAGTTCAGGAGTCTCTGCTGAGAGAGCGACTGAACACAAGGCAGTAGGGATGGAGATCGTTAATTTTTTACTGATATTAATACACTTATTGAGACTGCTTAATGATCAGATTCTTTATCGCTACTTTAGTATTATTTGGAGATGTTTTTTTGGTAAGACCAGACCCGACAGGCATGAGGTAGGCCTGCACGGTATGAGTAAAATATTCAATGTGCGATAACATTGTTACATATTGAGATGACAATAAATAAACATAGTGTGCATTTTAACTGCCAGGTTGTTTTAAAATTCTTTATAGGATTACAATTTAATATTTTAAAAACAGCTAGAGAAGCAACATTCATGTTTACAGGAAGGAGGAGGATCAGACCTTCATCCTCCTCCTCCTCCTGGAGACGCTGGTTTGTCTCAACCAGCAGCTGAGTTTTCAACAATGTGCCAAGTTTTAAGACTGCAGACCAGACTGTGATCCAGACAGACAGCTTTCTATTAGCTTGGTTTTAACATTTGGATAATTGCCAAGTTAACGTTAGATAAATCAGATTTGACGCTCAAGACATAACGTTACATTACAGGACGTGCTAGTCTCAACAGCAGTATCGATAAGCTCAGATGTTACTGGGTCTCGATCCCCATCCCTACAAGGCAGGAACACTAGTCAGAGCTTTCACTTTCAGTCTGCAGCACGGAATAACATGGTATTCATCCAGAAAACTACTTCTGAAGACCCTCCTGTCGGTTCCTCCAGCTGGAACAACCGCAGCCTGCTACTTCAAGGATTAATTATAATGCCGTAGCAAGGCAGTCACATTTTGATACATACATACGATGCGATACACGGCTCACGATAACGATAATATCACGATACAGCAATTCTGTGATAATCGATATATCGCTGATATATCAGGATATCTGTCTAACTATTAATACAAAATGCCTGTGAAAAAGTTTACTATTTAACTAACTGCAAATCCAAACTGTTAGAAAACAGCCCAATTCTGCTCAGTCTGTAAATAAAACTACAAAGCAACTATGAAAAAATATTATCAAAACATTTGTTTATAAAAAGGCACATAAAATGCAAATTCACTGAATTCCTTACTGCAAATAAAATTGCTGTGTACCACCTAAGTCTAATCTGTACATCACATTATATGAATAACTTTAACTGTTCAGTAATTGTATTTTCGGGATTGCGATGCTAATGTCCGTTAGCACGTTAATGGAGATTCCCATTATATGTTAGCATTGAGCTAATTTTTATAAATATTATGTATCGATATGATGGGCTGCAATATCGATACAGTATCATGGAAAAATGTAGAACGATATATTGCCGTATCAATTTATTGTCACATCCCTACTACAGTGGGTACGGAAAGTATTCAGACCCCTTTAAATTTTTCACTCTTTGTTTCATTGCAGCCATTTTCCAAAAATCAAAAAAGTTCATTTTATTTCTCAGTAATGTACACTCAGCACCCCATCTTGACAGAAAAAAACAGAAATGTAGAAATTTTTGCAAATTTATTAAAAAAGAAAAACTGAAATATCACATGGTCATAAGTATTCAGACCCTTTGCCGTGACACTCATATTTAACTCAGGTGCTGTCTATTTCTTCTGATCATCCTTGAGATGGTTCTACACCTTCATTTGAGTCCAGCTGTGTTTGATTATACTGATTGGACTTGATTAGGAAAGCCACACACCTGTCTATATAAGACCTTACAGCTCACAGTGCATGTCAGAGCAAATGAGAATCATGAGGTCAGAGGAACTGCCTGAAGAGCTCAGAGACAGAATTGTGGCAAGGCACAGATCTGGCCAAGGTTTCAAAAAAAATTCTGCTGCACTTAAGGTTCCTAAGAGCACAGTGGCCTCCATAATCCTCAAATGGAAGACGTTTGGGACGACCAGAACCCTTCCTAGAGCTGGCCGTCCGGCCAAACTGAGCTATCGGGGGAGAAGAGCCTTGGTGAGAGAGGTAAAGAAGAACCCAAAGGTCACTGTGGCTGAGCTCCAGAGATGCAGTCGGGAGATGGGAGAAAGTTGTAGTAAGTCAGCCATCACTGCAGCAATCCACCAGTCGGGGCTTTATGGCAGAGTGGCCCGACGGAAGCCTCTCCTCAGTGCAAGACACATGAAAGCCCGCATGGAGTTTGCTAAAAAACACCTGAAGGACTCCAAGATGGTGATAAATAAGATCCTCTGGTCTGATGAGACCAAGATAGAACTTTTTGGCCTTAATTCTAAGCGGTATGTGTGGAGAAAACCAGGCACTGCTCATCACCTGTCCAATACAGTCTCAACAGTGAAGCATGGTGGTGGCAGCATCATGCTGTGGGGGTGTTTTTCAGCTGCAGGGACAGGACGACCGGTTGCAATCGAGGGAAAGATGAATGCGGCCAAGTACAGGGATATCCTGGACGAAAACACCTTTTCCAGAGTGCTCTGGACCTCAGACTGGGCCGAAGGTTTACCTTCCAACAAGACAATGACCCTAAGCACACCGCTAAAATAACGAAGGAGTGGCTTCACAACAACTCCGTGGCTGTTCTTGAATGGCCCAGCCAGAGCCCTGACTTAAACCCAATTGAGCATCTCTGGAGAGACCTGAAAATGGCTGTCCACCAACGTTTACCATCCAACCTGACAGAACTGGAGAGGATCTGCAAGGAGGAATGGCAGAGGATACCCAAATCCAGATGTGAAAAACTTGTTGCATCTTTCCCAAAACGACTCATGGCTGTATTAGATCAAAAGGGTGCTTCTACTAAATACTGAGCAAAGGGTCTGAATACTTATGACCATGTGATATTTCAGTTTTTCTTTTTTAATAAATTTGCAAATATTTCTACATTTCTGTTTTTTTTCTGTCAAGATGGGGTGCTGAGTGTACATTACTGAGAAATAAAATGAACTTTTTTGATTTTTGGAAAATGGCTGCAATGAAACAAAGAGTGAAAAATTTAAAGGGGTCTGGATACTTTCCGTACCCACTGTATATCTATGAACTTAAGAGACAATCTATTGGCAGATTAGGAGATTTCCATCTACAGGTTACTGATATCGTGGCAAGTGTAGGGCCAGCTAGCCAGAGACCTTCATCTTTTCACCTTTAAGTCAAAGTCTAGCCGTGTTTTTAACTCTTTGATAGGGTTAGATTTGTTTATTAAGGGAAATCTCACCACAGGGAAGGCACATCTCAGCCCTTTGCGCAGAATGCTGTCATTGAACAGCACCAGGAGGTTGGAGGCAGAGTACACTGAAAAAGACACACAGCCGTGAAGGGCAATAAATCGATTATGTAACATTCATTATAAACAGTATATACACACAGTACTGTGCAAAAGTTTAAATCAGGTATGAAAAAAGATGTAAAGTAAGAATCCTTTCAAAAACAGACATGCTAATAGATTATATTTATCAATTAACAAAACGCAAAGTGAGCGAACATTAGTCTAAAATCTAAAACAAATCAATATTTGGTGTGAGCACTTCTTGCCTTGAAAACACCAATTCTTCTAGGTTCACTTGCACAAAGTCAGGGATTTTGTAGGCACATCGTCAGGTAAGTATGATTAAACATCTACACCAAACAGGTGCGAATGATCATAAATTCAATACGTAGGTTGAAACAGCTGTGAAGAAGGAATCCAGCTGGGTGAGGAACAGCCAACGCTAACAAGGTGAAGCTACCGAACACAGTTTCCTCTCAGAAGTCATAAACCGTGGAAAGACTGAGCTCAGCAACAAGACGAGAGAGTCTTTGATTCTCATTATCGGGGCTAGAACTGACTTTATCAATTAATATGTTGGTTATTTTTATGATTAATCATTTATTCTATAAAATGATACTTGTTAGAGCCCAAGGTCAAATTGCACTTATACATATATATATAAAAAAGGAGTATGGAATATTTACTATTATTTACTATTTATTAACGGAATTGTGGTGAACAGTGGTAATGAATAAACAGAAGCAGAATTGCAGCAGAGAATTTTGCACATTGAATATTGTACCAGAGAACATTGTACAGAATGTAAAGTATTTCACTACATGTTCCTACTACATGATGAGTTAATATTAATTGAATGTTCACGACATATGAAGTTAAAAGATGGCGTTTTTGCTTGATGAATAATTTTTTGATCATCAAAGTAGTTGTTGATTAATTTTATCTACTAATAGTTTCAGCACAAGAGTGATGTTTATTAATATTTGAGACATTAAAATATCTTTAAATGATATATATCGGCTTATATTCTTTGTTTAACTGATAAAAAACACACCTTGAATAAGGAACCCTTAAAAGTGTTTTTTTTAAATATTGTATTTAACAATAATTGGTATTGTAGTGGGACATTTTACAGTTGAAAAATAAAGCTGACACTGCTCTCTGGTGGACAAACTATATACTGATACTGATGAGACTTTGAACATACAGTATGTTTTGCATTTCTGAGTCAGAAGACATAAAAACTAACACTGATTCACTGATATGATCCGTGATGATCTAATATATCATTAACTGACCTTTTACTTACCCAGTTCAGATATTTCATGGGAATCTGCAAACCGCCCTGTAAAACAGAGAAGAGACATTGTTATGATGTGCTGAAAACAATGAAGACAGAATGAAGAAAAGTTGTGGATTTAAACTTTTCTTTATGGTCAGAACAAACACTTGATGCCAAAAACTGTGGATCACTTAAAAATGTTGAGGCAAAACATTCAAAACAATTATGATAAAAATCTTTGTAAAATTAGGCAAAAACTATGTTTCAGTCCCCTTTCCTCAACAAAATAAATATCTGCATCTTTTAATGGAAGAATTAAGAGCTAAAGCAAATACTGATAATGAGGAAAATTATATCATGATAATTACTATTATTGTTTAATTATTGTCCATTTCTATCTTCCTGTAAGTTTCTACGGAAGCCCTAAGCGGCCATCGATTCATATTTTTATTTTCCTGTGATAACGAGAGATAATTATCTCACGATCTCGAGATAATTATCTCACGATCTCGAGATAGTGAACCATAGCTGAATTCAGGGGTCGGCAGGTGTCTTTCTTTACGATAATAATTTTCGTGTCAATTTGCTGACTCAGCATTTAGCTCAGCCAGTAGAGCGCAGGACTAACCCCAGCTCTCTGCGAAGTTTATTTATTTTTCTTTTGTGTGTTTTTTAATCATTCTCTTCAACAAAGTTGTTATAAAGAGATTCAGGGGAATCCAATCACACATTTCAAGAGAAGCAGATGAATTTCCTCTGCCTGGGAATGCTGGTGAAATGAAAAGTCCATAGGTCGATGAATGTGAACAATTTCCGGGATGCGCACACTGCAGCACGTGATTAATTGTGAGCATGTGAATCAGTCAGTCATCTTCATAACAACTTTGTTGAAGAGGAATATGAGGAATATGAAAATGTTTATCTTCCCTGAACATCAAACTCACAATCTTAAAACTACGAGCCACGCACCTTACTCACTGAGCCAATCAGTGACACTAAAACCACCTTGAAATTAACATTAAGAAACGTTCTTGCCAACGCCTGTGTTAAACTATTGTTTTGTTATCTCGAGATCACAAGATAATGATCCCGTTATTGCGGCAAAACAGAGGTGAGAAACTTGGCTCATGACCGGTGACCAGCTGACCACGTCGCTGCCGTCTCTGCGTCGTGCCGCTTTGCTCTATACAACATCAGTAAAATCAGGCGCTTCCTCTCTCAGTTCGCCACCCAGCTTCTGGTACAGGCCGTGGTTATCTCTCTCGCCTCGACTACTGCAATGCAGCTCTTCCAGCTTGTGCGGTGAAACCCTTACAAATGTTTCAGAACGCAGCAGCGCGTCTGGTTTTTGATCAGCCCAAAAGGACTCATGTCACTCCATTACTCAGTGACCTCCACTGGCTCCCCGGGGCCTCCAGAATCAAATTCAAGTCACTGATGCTGCATACAGAGTGACTACTGGGTCTGCACCATCTACCTAAACTCCATAATACAAACTTACGTTCCTTCTCGGCCGCTACGCTCCTCTAACGAACGCCGCCTGGCTCTGCCGTCCCTTCACACAAAGCAATCCCAGTCCCTGTTCTCATCTGTGACACCACGATGGTGGAACGAGCTACCACACGCCATCAGAGCAGGGGCGTCCCTCTCTAACTTCAAGAAGCTCTTGAAAACTCATCTTTTCTAAGAACACTTCCTCTTAGAACACCTCTAACTCCTAACCTCTAACATGCACTTCCTGTGTTCTTCTTCTTCTATCCCCTACAATCTTGTATTGATTGCACTTTTTGTTCCTTCCCTAGGTATCTACCCCATTGATGTGATATGTACTGTGAGCTCTTACTAGTATTTATTGCTGCTCTTACTAGTATGTATTGTCAGTTGTAGATCTGTATTTGATTTCTGTTGATGCTTGAATGTTGTTCCTCAAATGTAAGTCGTTTTGGATAAAAGCGTCTGCCAAATGAGTAAATGTAAATGTAAATAAAGATGTGAATCGATGGTCTTTGCCGCTTAGGGCTTCCGTAAGTTGCACCCGGAACTGTGTGTAACAACCAAGTGCGTCAAGATGCACGAGAACAAGACGAGAAGATTTTTAACACACTTTTTAAAGAAATAGGAAATGCTGAAATACATGAGCGGGGGTCTGAGGGTCCTCTCCCAGAAAAATTGGAGCATTAAACACTTCATTTCCTGCATTCTGGAGACATTTTTTTACTCCAATTTATGATGCAAATGTCTGTATTTATATAAAGGGAGACAATTCATAAATATAAAAACATAACAGAATATAATGCAGTATTCAGCTGCTTGTTTGTTTTTGTTTTTTTAGCTTGAGTAGCTCACATTTGTTTCTTCTATATTTAAATCGCATTGCATGTTTTCTTATTGTGCAAATCTTTCTCAAAGCATTTGCATTTGTTTGGTACATTTTTTTTTTACAAATGCTTTCAAAAAGTGATGAAGAAAAAATCAGCCATTTCAAAAATGTGGTGGGGACATGAACCCAGTGTAAATGACAGCTACGGTAACAACTTTAAAACAGATTCCTTGCATGTGCAAAGCTGTGATTCTGTTTGTCTGCATTAAAATCAAACTTTTATCTGGTCCAGTCGAGAAGTATAAAGCACCCAAGGGGAGTTGACACCGCCTCTGGAGCTGCGTACCATTTAATTATGTATTGTTAATGTGAGTAAAAGCCTTAATGTCACTGACCTGCGATCAGGTAGGAGAGCGTGCGCACGGTGCTCTCCAGCTGTGCTGTCGCAGCTGGGTTCCTCCTCACGTACTCGGTGTAGCGCTCATAACAACGTCCCGCTTTGTCGATGTACTCTTTAATGTGAGACATTTCAGCTGTAACCTTACCGCACACTGACAAATGCGCTCGTCATTTACCCGCTGCGTTCACAAAATACCAGCTATATCGAGGAATTAGATAGTTTTGAATGCATTTGAGCTCGTTTGGCTGCTGTTTAAACCGAAACAAACTAACTTCCGCATAGGGAGCCGACTGTATTTAAGGTCCCCCCCTCCTCCTGTGCTCAAAGCATCAAACGCATTGGTTCCTGTTCCTAGCGTGAAGCGTTTAGTGCCCGGGTTCTTCTTCCGGGCACGTTATTGTTGCATCAGCATCAAACCATCCAGCAACTGTGGCAATGTCGACCTCAGGAGAGCCAGGTGCAGTAAATAATCTTTGTTTTACACCTCATACACACGTTAGTTGAAAATCCGTGAAAAGACTGTGCCAGCGCGATTTAGTGTGTTTTCACGAGCTGTCACAGCCAAGAAGCTAACGTTAGCTTTCCAAAGCTAAAAGGTAAACTGGACAGCGAATGACAGGCAGAACCCCCTTTTAAAAATCTGGCCATTTAAAATCAAAGTTAATGGAGCGGAGTGTATCGGCAAAGACAAACTGGTCGACGACAGCTTTTCTTAATTTTAAGGAGACGCTCTTTAATTCGGCGCACGTATTTGATATTTCAGTACTTTTGTTTAGAAAAGTATAATTGAACAAAAGTGGTATAATTGGTTTAAAATGTATGAATGGTGTAACGTTATGCTTCGGCTTGTTGTGTAAAACAAACCGCGCTGTGCCGCTTTGATAAACTTAACTTCCTAATTTCTTGATTTTTTTTTTTTTTTAGAAAATTGGTAATAGCTAAAAATTTAACAGTAGCTCGTCTCTCTTGTGGGGTATTATGAGGATTAAATGCAACAGTGCGTAACATAACTGATGATAAAACCACAGAACTGTAAATTTATTCATGGCAGCCTGAAAATTAAGACAATGCATTTATTCCCGTTAATTGTTATATTACCCAGCCGAACAGATGCAGCTCAGCTTGTCTCTAACAGATCATAACTGTCCTCCTCACAGCTGGGCAGATGTTATTTTACATCCTAGCTGCGGGAATTTCATGGAAATATAAAAAAAAAAAAAGATCTTTTTTGTGTGGAATGTTTTGTGGTTGTTAAATTTTAATTGTAATAATTTTGCTTGTGCTTTCTGTTTTGCTCGGTTGCATCATCTAGTTTGATCTGCTGAGTTTCTGTTTGATATTTTCCCTTTGTTTCCTATATGATTGTTAATCATAATAATAATAATAAATAAATAAGTGCAATGACATAACTTCTGTTAGGAATTGGTGCTCTATACCCATTGCAACGCTTGACTGTACTTTTTGTAATATTATTAAGGCTACAGACCCAAAAGTTCCCAACATGAGCAAGCACTATTATTATTATTGTTATTATTATTATTATTTGTATTGTTGGTATTATTACTACTATTATTATTACAAAATAGCCAAACTCAGTTCAGTGTTTTCCAAGCGATCACCTGTACAATATTTTGTAATGACTATTTCATTAAGCACTGCATTGCCGTCACTACGCCTCAGTAACCCAGATAACATCTATAATTCAGTCAATGTTTATAGTCTCCATTGCTGGTAAAACAAGAACTGCTGCCCCCGTTCCCAAGTGGTCTACGTAACCTCTATGTCCCTGGTTCGAATCTGGCTTGGGACCTTTGTTGCACGTCTCCCCCATTTCACTCACCTGTGTTCTGTACATTCACACTGATGAGAGTTTGTTTACAAGTTGCATGCATGCTCAAGAACCACATTCATTTATATTTTATGTAAGTATTATATTTTATTGAAGTTAACTTCCATCTCCTCCTTCGCCCAGACCTCTCTTTGTTTTCGGACCTCACTAATCCCCATTTGCAGCTCTATTTTGTGTTTATTTGAGCTTCTCTTTCAGTTTTTATTTTTGACTTTGTTTCATTTTCAGTCTTAGTGTTTAATTGGTCATGCGTGGCTGGAGAAGTTTCCATTTGACTTTTGGAGTTTCACACTTCGGAAGGTTTGAAAATTCAAGTCCATTTCACTTTCACTCTTAGTGATCATTTCTGTAAGTGGTGTATTGTACAGACAGAAAACAATGTCCAAGGATAGAGAATAGTTTGAGGGGCAGAACTGATTTACTGATCGGGATATAGATTTTGGAACTCCACAGTTTACTTATTTATCATTATGTATTATTATATTTAATGTTTTTGTCATTCACATTTAGTCATTTCCCGATTCATGTCCTGTTCTAGCCCTACACTGAGCAGACGTAAGTCAAATACTTTAGATCCAGCATCATGGCCCAGAGACAGGTTTAACGCCACTAGATCATGTCAGGTTACACCCATCTCTAAAATCTCATGATTGCCCTCATTGCTGTTGTCAGACATTTGTTGCAACATCCGAAAAATGTATTGTTGTAAAAATAGCTCTACTTTTCCTTGAGTGCAGTATTACACCAGTCCAGGGCATGCAAAACATCTACTCTTCTTTAAAGTTATAACATGACACTGAGAATTTGGTATCCTACCGTATCAAAGACAAAATACGGCCATGTGCCTGTCTGTTCAGTATGTAGTTTCTTATGTCTGTAGGTTTCTTAACTTAGTTTAGTACTGACTTGCTGCTAAACACAGTAGGTCTTGGCTGTGAGCCTGATTGTAACCTCACTGGTCATTGACCTGTCCAGGGTAAACTTGTGCTGCTGCTGTTAGTGTTTTTCTCAGGCTGTTGCAGCCTAGTCGGTAATTCTTTGCGAATATTTGCCCTCTTGTTTCTGCAGCCTTTGAGTATGGCTTCTTGCTACAGATAAATGAGGAGGCTGCGCTGGCAGTGGCCCTGAATGACTACCTAACATCACGCAGCTACCTGGCTGGGTTCTGCCCCTCCCAGGCCGACCAGAAAGCCTTTAAGCTCCTCCACAGGCCCCCAGAACCGCAACATGTCCACGCTCTGCGCTGGTACAGACACATAGCAGCCCTGCAACAGGACCTCAGCCCTGAGAGCAGCAGTGAGTAAGGCATGAACAGGCTAGACGTGATCACGATCCCTCATGTACCAGCCTGGATGTTGAGGCTGTCTAAGGTTTTTAAGGCAGGGACACTTCTCATGGATTTAACTAAAAGCAGCTCTAACCTGTCCCCCGTATGAACCCAGAACTCTTTTGCAGGCATTTGCAGGAATTCAGTTTTAGCTTTCACTTCGTCGTAGCAGACACTGCATGTGGTGCCTGTAGCTGCACACTGAGAGTAAGATTATCACTGTTTAAACAAAACCACAAACTGCACCACTCCATGTTAGTTTCCAGCAGACATGTGGCGTTGACGAGACACCTACCCAAAGATAACCTGGGGCTGAAATGGCTTTGCAAACACGTAACGCACATTAGGCTTAGTGCCTCGCAGGGGTCGCCAGGTGTTTGTGCATGCTGTGTGTGACTTTGGCAGCAGATTCTGTGTTAAAGTGTGAAGTTCTTAACAGAACGCGTATGAGAATAAGATCATCTTTCACTTTTGTGGCATCTGACTAAACAAATTAGCGCTCTGTGTGTGGACTAACCTTAAATTTCAAACATTTTGAGCTGAATATTTGAGCCCGTAGAAAATGTTTTACTGGAAGTTGGAGCTAAACAAATAAGCATAATTATAAAAATGACACTCGTTGGGATACTATGGCCATTTAAATAGGGAAAATAAAAATTAGAGGCCTGAAGAGAGTTCATTTTACTTTGGTGAAGACGGCATATTAATCTTTGTGATTTACTGTCCAAATTTCCTTTTTTAAAGTTAAACTTTTTCAGACCTGAGATGCAAGTAAAAACAAATGGATAATGGCAATGTAGCATTAGCCTGCCTTCGTCTAGCTAGATTAATTACTCTGTGTCTCTGACTTAAACTTTTGGGTTACTTTTTCCTTTTGTTGCACATATTTGGATTTGTCCTTTAACCTCTTTCACTGTCTCAGTTTAGCACTGAACACTACAATAAATCACGGTAGATCTGCCTCTTATTAGTCTATTGATGAGCTAGTTTAAGTTATTATTCAAGCCAAGATTCACTGGTTCCAGCTTCTCAAATTTGAATATTTGCAGTTGAATATTTCTTTGTTTTCTGTGATAGTAAATTTAATAATTTGGGGTTTTGGAGTGTTGATCAGACAAAACAAGCAATTTGAATATGTCAACCTATGTTCTGCTGTTTTCTGGTATTTTACACACCAAATGATTAACGGATAATGAATATAGTCAATAGTTTTGGCCTATAGTTCACAGTAATGGTGTGTTAATGATGCAAGGGGGCAACATGTCAAACCCATGTTAAACTTCCTTCCAGTGTTTCTCTTAGTTCTGTGTTCTGTGGTCCTCTATTTCCTGCAAAAACAAAATTTACTAAATAATAATAATAATAATAATAAACTACTCTGTGTAGATTTTAATGTGAAAATGACATCATTCAAAAGAAATCATTGTTGTGATTGTTAAGTTTTTGTTTGTAGAAAACCTAGAGAAATCCAGTATTTTAAAATCCTACAGGATTAATAATGCTTTGTTTGTTTGTTTTCCAGTGAAAGGAAAGCGGGTTCAGCCCCCTTGGTCTCCACCAACAGGAACAGATATTCCCCAACTTCGACTCTACAACAGCCTGACAAGAACAAAGGTAAGTTAGTGGCAAATATACAATCCTTAAAAATGCTCTGCAGAAACTGATCTTGGAAAGAGTAAACGTCCGAACAATGAAATAACATTTTAATATGGACCGTGTGCTTGATCAGTAAGGAAGCACATGACTTTAGTTAGCTATTTACAATGAGTGTTGGGGCTTCCCATTCGTTTTATTTGAGCAATTTACAATTTATTGCAAAGTCTGTCGGGAAGTAAAACTCTTTATCTTTCCCCCAGGACGAAATCTCCAGAATTGAGATTATAAACTGTCAGGACTTGTAATAAAAAGTTATCTCCGTTTTTTTTTTTAGACCTACTTTGTCTGATGTGTGCAATGCGGATTTACAACATGAAACTATATGAGTTATGATGTTTATTTGTGTAAAAGGCAAATTAGAGTTAACAGTTGAGCTTCCTGTTAATGATCAGGTTACTGATAAGGTAATAATAAAGATGATTTCACCTGCGTATGACAGGAAACCACCGTGCGACTTGTTCGTGTCCTCACATAAAAAGCTGTGTTTTGCACCAGTGCACATGCCTCCAGTAGGGGAAAAGTTTTTTTTAATGCGTGACTTTATCTCTGGTCAACTTGTTAACGTCATCGTCTCCAATGTTTCAGGAGCCGTTTGTTCCTCAGAAAGGGAATAAAGTGACGTGGTACAGCTGTGGGCCTACAGTGTACGATGCCTCACACATGGGACATGCAAGGTAAACTAATCCGCAGTTATGCAAAATGACTCGTCCTGTAACCTTTTTTTTTTAGTTTATGTTTACTCTGTTATAACGAGACTTTATTTTCTAATCTGTCTCTCTGTACAGATCCTACATATCTTTTGATATTCTGCGAAGGATACTGAGGGATTACTTCAAGTATGATGTCTTCTACTGCATGAACATCACAGACATAGATGACAAAGTATGTATGGTTTTATAAAAAAAGATTTATTCTTCACTGCTTTTTTACCAAAAAAAAAAAAAAAGGAATACACTTGTCATCTAAGAGAAAATTGTCTTGACATCAAAAATGATTTTATTTTTTTTAATACATTAGAACAAACACTTCTTAAGTCACCAAGTATTTTTTTGTTCGTGGACACATGACACAGAATATAAAACGTCCCATCTTTTTATGACCAAAACAAAAGCGCCATGTTCCAAAATATCATCAGAATCGGGACCATTTGAAATCCTGGCATTTGAAATAGAATGAAACATGTGACACATGATATTGTACTTTTAATTGGATTTTGGTTGATAGTGAAACTGTATCTGCACAAACATATAATTAGTCACGGTGCATTTCAGTGGTTACTTAAATTCACACATCACACGTCATAACTCATGAACAAAAGAAAGAAAAATATCTAGATGATTATAACATTTAGTAGTTATATATTCTGTGTAGTTATGATCATAATGAGTATTTTGTTTAAGACAGTCATTATTGCAATGTTACTTTTTTAGGGTGTGTGGGCTTTATGTTTGTATTTCTTTCTTTCAGATCATTAAAAGGGCTCGGCAGAACTACCTCCTGGACCAGTACAAGGAGAAGGAGCCGCGAGCTGCTCAAATACTGCAGGATGTCCTGAGTGCCAGAGAGGTGAGACCAAACTCTTAGTTAGCCTTTGATACGACGATAAAAACAGCCTCTGCACCATCGTTGTGTTTTAGAGAAAGAGGAGGCGTGAATAAAACCTCATATTTGCTACCTTTGCTTTAGTGCAAGATCAAATCCTTTCACAATCTGTGTTCGACTAAGAGTATTATTAAAGCAGACTTAATATGCTTTTCCATATTTTGTGAGTTATCTACAGTGTTGGATGTTCATGTTAAACATGGCCAAAGCTTCAAATAATGACGTTAAAGTATTTATAGGAAATCCCTGTGAGCAAAAACCTCAGATTTCCTCCTGTTTTCTACTGATTTTTCTACCAACGGCTCCGTGTAGCTCCGTGTGTCGTACGGTATTCCATATATGGTCATTTGCTCCGCACGGCAACGCTCAGTCTGCCTGTTCCGCTCAGCGCCAACAACAGCCTGGTAACATGCTTCAGGTCTTGGCCAATCAAATTTAATTGTACACTACATCTGCATTCACCATTCACTCACGTTTATACACTGGTGGAACAGCCACCAGGGGCAGTTCGGGGTTCAGTATCTTGCCCAAGGACACTTCGACATGCAGCCTGGAGGAGCCGGGGATCGAACCGCCGACCTTACGATGATCGGGCAACCTGCCTTAAAGAGACAGGAGCTTGTTTCAGACAGAGGTTGAAATGAAGGCCTACATGAAGACCCAGTATTGGACAGAAAATAAAATAGTTTTGTTGGATTTGAGTCTGTTAGTTGGTTAAAGCTGCAGAACATAATATGCAAAACCTTCTGCGTGTCGCTTTCCGCTCGCTCTCCACCGGCCCCTCTCACCCTGACTCGCCATCTCAAAAGTTATTCCCCACATTTTGTCATCAGGCCTATTTGCCACTCGTCGATATGAACGACACGGCATCGAACATAATGAGCCCGAAGCCCCGTTAGGAGCCGGGACGTGATCACACACGTGTTGTACTATATTCTGTTGTTGGCAAAGGAGGGATGGGCAGTTCTTTCATTGCTGCCGGTTTGTTTCTCAGACCCTGTGTTTGCAAAGCTTCTGAAGCCACGAGCTGAAGATTTTGAAGAGCAGATTAGTGAGAGCAAATATGACAAAGTTATTTTTAAAAGAACTCCCTACTGCAGCTTTAACAGCTTTAAAAAATGTAATGTAGTTCCAAACCTCTTTCCTGCTGCCACAACCAAGCATGCTGTTGACTTTAGTTTGAGGCCGTAAAGTATATCGGATCAAATGTTTAGTAAGCACAGACTGGTTAACCACAAATAGTTTACACTTTACTTGCGAATAGACACAACTGTAAGCATCACTGTCTTCTGTAGAAGCTTAAAAATCATAAAACCGACTATCCACATTATTCTGCATCTCCACCTAAAACCACCAGACTACCTGAAGGTTACCTGCAGGGTTCTGGCTTTTACTTAAAACTTGTTGTTTTCAGCCTTTTCAGGCGCACATGGCTTCGACAGCAGACCCAGATAAGAAGCAGATGCTGGAGAGGCTGGACGCTGCTGTTACAGATGCTCTGCAGCCCCTGCAGGCAGCGATGGACGCCAAAGCAGCAGATGAGGTCGTCCAACCTCTGGCCCAGGTGAGACTGACTTTAGTCACTTTAGACCAATTATCTCTTTGTGATTCTCAGCTTTTTTTTTTTAAGATTTTAGATTTGGATTAAAGGAATAGTTTGACATTTTGGGGATTAGATTTCGATTCCACCGTACGCTAAATAGGAAGTTATCACCAGCAGCCAGCTAGCTTAGCTTAGCACAAAGACTGGAAACTTCCTGTTCCAGATGCAAGAGTGGTATCAATCTTCTCATCTAATTCTCAGCAAGAAAGCAAATGAGTGACTTTTCCTTTAAGTATTTCTGACCATTGTGAAAGAGTCCATCACATGTACATGTTTTAAAATAATAACCCAGTAAATAGTCAGATATTAAGTTATCTTATTAAATAAATGCTATTTTATATTGTTGATCATTGTAACCAAACCAACCTGGGAAATAAACTGCTTTTCACTGAGAAAGTATTTAATATTCACAGTTTACCTGGAATAAACAGTATTAGAAGAACAATTGATTTTCTATTTTTTTTTTTTTGTTGTTCTCATTTGGACTGGAAATTTCAGTATGTTTCAATTGATTGATTTATGTTTCCTCTGTCAGTTTATATGGATTTGATTTAATTTGAAATGGAAAACTAATACAATATATACAGATGGATAAATGAGTTGGTTTAAAATATATATATATATATAATATGCACTTTAACTTTTTCTTTCTTCCAAGGTGCTGCTGGAGAATTCCAAGGACTTGCTGGCTGATTGGTTGGACAAGCAGTTTGGAAGTCAAGTCACAGATAATTCAATCTTCTCCATTCTCCCCAAGTATTGGGAGGGAGAGTACCACAAAGACATGGAAGCCCTGAACGTAAGTAGAAGGAAGGAAAACGTGTTTTTTTTAAAGTCCTGGTCAGACAGAAAAACACATGAATAATCACAAGAAGCGGGAAGAACTGCATTATCTTTTGGTCCCTGCCTGATTCTGTATCTAGTAGTCGCATCCTTCTATTCAAATACATGGACTTCAAAAGGTGTGAACTGGGCCAAATGATATGTTGTTGCAGTATATGTACTGTAACTGAGAAACGAACACCAAGAGTTAAGGCGGTCTTTGTTTATAAGAAACATATTATTTTTAAATGTACCACTAGAGTCTAGGATGGTCTGATTTTTAAAAGTACTTAACATTTATACTTTGATCAATTGTGCTTACATTCCTTTACATTCAGTGCCCTAAAAATGTGGCAAAAAGTGACCTTAATCAGTGTATTGTTATAAAACACAGTGCCAGGGTCTCCAGCTCTGAATTCATTTTCAGTTTTAAATATGGCCACAAGTATGTGGACACTTGTTCCACTGAAGCAAAGTCTCACTGCTACAGCATATAATTCTGTTTTAAGACAACATGTAGTGGATTTAGTTATTGTGCGTAAATTATCTTTCTGGCCACCAGGTTCTTCCTCCAGACGTCCTCACGCGAGTCAGTGAATACGTGCCGGAGATTGTGGAGTTTGTGAAGAAGGTTGTCTCAAATGGTTACGGGTGAGGAAGAAGCTGCCGTTGTTTATTATTCAGATTACACCCACATTGTCAGTTACAGCGGTGTAGTTTTAATTACTTTGTTTTCTGATGTTTACAGGTATGAATCAAACGGTTCTGTGTACTTTGACACCTCGAAGTTTGATGCCTGTCCGCAGCACTCGTATGCCAAACTGGTGCCAGAGGCAGTTGGAGATCAGAAAGCTTTAGAAGAGGGGGAAGGTGCACAACTACCAGAACTTTTCTCTTACTTTAACTCCCCATGTGTAGAACAAAAAATTATTATAGCAGCTTTTAAATAACTCTGATGGCATACATTATTGTGTGTATAAAAGTGAAACTGTCCTGGTGAAAATTGGAGCAGGGTTCTGTACAATGTGTATTCTTTGATATTACCAGCAGGAGTCGCCAAAGTCAGAAATGATTATCTCTTGAACAAAGGGCTGTTCAATTAAACAAAAATGATAATTACTGGAATATAATTGTCCTCAACAACAGTAAAACAAATGATCAATAAATGTTTGATTTAATTCATTTGAATCACAAATGAATTAACATTTAATTTTTTTTATTACGATATTTATTTTGTTTGTAGATTTTACTTAATTTGTTTAAAAAAAGATTTTATCATAATTGTTTTGAATGTTTTACCTCAGATTCTTTAAGGGAGCCACTGTTTAGCGTCAAGTGTTTGTTCTGACCATAAAGAAAAGTTTAAAGTCACAATTTTCCCCTCACAAAAATCAGCCTTTTAAACTAGAAAGAAATAATGATTTGACATTTATCGTGATAATTATCGATATTGAATGATATTACTTTATTTTTTTTGGGCCAGATCCCCCAGCCCAACTTGCAATTATAGGCTTTAACATGACTGGTGAAGATGTGTTTCTTTTTGTAACTCTGTTCTGTTTGTTTATTGTCATTAATCCACTTACAGATACACAAATGAATGAAATGCTGTTCTATTAATTCAACTTACAACACAACACAGTAACTATGTTTGTTGTCTGGCCCTGTAGGGGACCTGAGCATCTCTGCTGACAGATTAGGTGAGAAAAAGTCCCCCAATGACTTTGCCTTGTGGAAAGCCTCCAAGCCCGGAGAGCCTTCATGGGACTCCCCATGGGGGAAGGTGAGAGTTCATTCTTAATGTTGGGGTGTTGTTAAACTGTCGCCAACTTCCACAACGGGACGATAGATGGAGGTTTATGACGATTCATGCATTGTTGATTGTTGTGGTTTCTTTGATTATTGTAACAGGGAAGGCCTGGCTGGCATATTGAATGTTCGGCCATGGCTGGCTCCATCTTGGGAGAGTCCATGGACATCCACGGTGGGGGGTTTGATCTCCGGTTCCCCCATCACGATAACGAGTTGGCTCAGTCTGAGGTACAAAAGTATTTGTTCTTGTTTAAGTACTTTTTGAAACATGGATGCAGCAACTCATAAAGCACAGTGCCCATGCAAAAAAACCATGTAGTTGAATCTTATTAACTTTAATGTATTAAAGGCGTTTCCAGCCAAAGAGAAAGTAAAATACAGATTTGGAGCGTGACGTTGGTTATGTCCCTCACAGGCTTTCTTTGAGAATGATCACTGGGTCAGGTACTTCCTGCACACCGGGCACCTGACGATTGCAGGCTGCAAGATGTCGAAGTCGCTGAAGAATTTCATCACTATTAAGGATGCCTTAGCCAAGAACACAGGTGACTCATCTGGTTCTGCTTAATGTTGATTATTAAAACTGTTCTGTCTACTGACTAACTGAAGGTCATTCAGTCAAATAATAATAACTGCATTGTTATGCATTATGCACACACTTCCATATATTGTTGCACTTTACAAAATATATGCACAGTACTGGACTGAATCTTTTGTATTGATCTCTTCAAAACTCCCCGGAGTGACATTGAAAACTAACATTCAGTCCCTTATATCACCAGGTTAGATTGAAAAACTGTCCTTCAGCCCCATCAAAATAACATGAAGCCAGCAAAAGCTGTATTGTTGGTCTTTAATAGAAAACATTAAAGTACCGTTTAAGTATTGGTTTCTTGGCAAATGCGTCAACATTTCAGTTTACAGTAAATTCTAACACATTTTTTAGTTATCAATTTTACTTATTATTTATTTATTTTCAGGATAATTGTCCCTATTTTGCTCAAAGGAATAAAAAAAATAAAAAGGCCATTTGAGGACAGATTTTGATCAGATTGTAGGGGATATTTGCAGCTCTTCTGCATAATTTACTGGATGAACGTTCTGAGCAGGTGAAATGAAAGAAATGTGACGCCGCTGTGACGTCCTTTTCAGGCTTATGCAAAATGCATTTTAAGGCGTTTCTGTTTAGAGAAGCAAATTATGGGAGGAGGAAGTGAAAGCTTTCCAGTATCTCACCGGTCAGCACCACAACACTGAAGAGCAGCGATGTGACTTCTTCACACGCTTTTACTTTTTCATTTCCCCCAGTGACCTCCTGCTTGTCTTTTTCCTGATATTTAATGACTTAAAGCAGCTCCAGTCCACAGAAAACTTAACTATGCAACACATTTCAAAACAGACAGACATCAGATTTTATTTAACAGCAGTTTATGAAATTCAGATGTACTGCAGCTTGTTTATTTTACGTCTGGAGTGAGATCAAGTTTTTCTGGTACGAGTCAGATAAATAAAGGTAGTAAAAGTTGTTTTAACGCTCCTCTTTTCATCCTGCTGCAGCTCGCCAGCTCCGTCTGGCTTTTTTGATGCATTCCTGGAAAGACACTCTGGACTACTCTCCCAACACAATGGAGTCAGCCGTCCAGTACGAGAAGTTCATGAATGTAGGTGACGTAGTTAGGAGGTGGTATAAATCACGAGGTGTTTGTTTGTTATTTTTTAATAATCCGCTGTTTTGTGGTCTTTTCGTGTAACAGGAGTTCTTCCTGAATGTGAAAGACATACTGCGTAGTCCTACTGACATCACCGGTCGGTTTGAGAAGTGGGAGGCTGCAGAGATGGAGCTTAACAACAGGTAAGAGAGTAAAGATGGGGAGTGATGCATCGGACATTCAGTAGTAGCAGAAAAACCTTCTGAAATCTTTTAAATTAATTAATTCAAAGCAGTTGTCTTAAAAACGCACAAGCCCGAGACATCTGACGGTCTTAATACAGAAAAGTCCATTTGTCATATAGAAAAAAGAAGACTCGCGTGTCCACTCGCTGTGGGCGGCTCGTCACCGCCTCAGGACTCCTCCGCACGTTTGAACCTGTAAAAACGAGTTCACGACTAAAAGCAAATGGTTACTTGTGTCGTCCAGTTTCTACGACAGGAAGTCCGCCGTCCACGAGGCTCTGTGTGACAATGTGGATACTCGCACCGCCGTGGAGGAGATGAGAGTGCTGGTCAGCCAGAGCAACAGCTACATCGCCAGCAGGAAGAGCGCCAAGCTGAAGCCCAACCGCACGCTGGTGGAAAGTATCGCCGTGTATCTCACCAACATGCTGAAGGTGAGCGGGTTTTTACAGCAGCTAATTTTATCATCACATGCTACACATTTTTAGATCGGCGTGACTTCATATCTTATATATCCATATGTGTTACATAAGCAGTGAAAGCAGTACCCATTAAACCCACTGAAGTGAGTCTGTTGTCTTTAGATATTTGGTGCCATTGATGGATCCGAGTCCATCGGTTTCCCAGTGGGAGGACAAAGTCAGAACATTGATGTAAGTAAAGAGACACTTTTCTGGGTTGTCACTGTTTGAATTGTTAAACTCACTTTCCCTTGCGTCAGACACATACGTCATGTTACTGACTGATGAACATTTGCCTCCCTGCTTTTTAGGATCTACTTTATAGATAATGTGTCCTTTTTTAAAAGAGTTATAGTTACAGACAGCAAATAGTTCATGCTCAGATTTACATTTTCAGGCTGTGGGGATTTAAATGCCGTACAGTAAAATATTGTTGCTGCTGTGTTTGCCAGCTGGAGACCACAGTGATGCCGTACCTCACCGTGCTGTCAGATTTCAGAGAGGGCATCCGAAAGATTGCCCGAGAGCAGAAAGGTAGGAACTGAAGCTAATAATCATTTTCTCCTTTTAACTTTAAAAGATCATGTTAGTGTTGAATCTGCCACGGTGGAAACATTTGTAGGAATAGCACAACACTTTTTACCCTCTACGCCCTTTACCTTCAAGGTCTCATTAAAGTCCTTTTATTTTTTTAAATCTCGTCTAGTGACGGAGTTGCTGCAACTGTGCGATGTTGTCCGTGATGATACGCTACCGGAGCTCGGAGTCCGACTGGAAGATCATGAAGGTAACGGAGCTGAAAACTTAAATGTCCTCTGAAACAAAATAATGCGTGTCTTCTTGTATCCGTTTGTTTTCATACATGTGACGTCAGTATTGTATAGTATAATGAGCAACTGTGGCAAGATGTCATTGAAAAGGTTTAAAACTAGGATTACCGCAGTCGTAGGAAGTAAAAGCCCGGGATAATACTGGAAAAAGGAATATAAATCCGCCTTTATTCCCACAGTGAGAATGACCTCTTGATGAAATTGTTGCAGGTCTGCCTACAGTGGTGAAACTGGTGGACAAAGAGACATTACTGAAGGAGCGAGAGGAGAAGAAGAAGGTGAGGGAGGAGTGGAAATGGCTTTTTTTTAATTGCACCCACATTAGTGACATAATCTCATAGTGATCACAAAGCTACTGGAAATAATAAAAACACAATTGGAGCAGTTTGTTTACCAGCAAGCATTTCCTCAAAGTTGACATGTGAGAACAGTTCCACTGAAATGGCATCAACAGGTCTGAAAACAATAACATCTACATTTACATCTGATAGTTTTTCTGTCTGGAAAGCAGACCAGAACAAAACAAAATCCAGACTGGTGGTGATTCCAGTCCTTTTTATTTGACACGACGCGACAAAAAACACAGTAAATTCACAAACTGGCGTCCGTTAAGGGCGTTAATGTGTTAGTCTGTGTGAGGGTTTACCATCCCTGGCCAAAACACAACAAAGAAATCGCTTCTTCCTGAGATCAGACCAGAGGAAAGCATTTAAAAGCTAAACATTTCCCCAAGAAGGGATTTCTTTTCATTTTGGATCAGAGGTGAACAGTCCCGGTCAAATGTCGGGACTTTATTAATAATTCCTGTTATGAAGAGTATCTGTGAACTGTTGTTTTCTTTTCTTTCACAGATGGAAGAAGAGAAGAGAAAGAAGAAGGAAGAGGCTGCCAGGAAGAAACAAGAACAAGAGGTCACTCAGATGGTTCCATATAGAGAGGTTTAGTCCTCTTTTGTTCCTCTGACAGTGATCATGTTCACTTACTCATTTCTTTCTTTTACTGTTTCAGATGGCGAAACTCGCAAAGATGAAGGTCCCTCCATGTGAACTGTTTCGCACGGAAACAGACAAGTATTCCAAATTTGATGAAACGGTAAATCTCTCGCTTACTTTTCACTACAAATGTTTTTTAAAAACAAGCCACCGCACAATGAAATGACTTTATTTATTGTGAACGACTCGTTTGGCCGCCTGTGGCTTCGTCAGGCTGTGTCAGGCTACCGGTAATCCAAACTGCTTTTTCATTATTATAAAATCAACATCTTAATATAATTCAAACGGCACAAATATGAATAACATCAAACGATATAAAACATACATGAGCCACAAGAATCGCATCATTTCACCATAAAAAAGACGGATGTGACGCTCACTGACAAGGAACTTTAGTTTAATTAAGTACCTGGGATAATAAAACATGTCGCTCTTTCCAGGTCAAGTGTTCATGTAGTTTTAATTAGGACATTTAACACATTCACACACATCTGTCAAACAAAACCGAATTCGAAGGGCTGTAAAGGGTTTTGAAACGCCTGACCTGCTCAGGAGGAACAGTTTCTACAGCGGGTAAAACAAAAAGCCAGTTTCACTTAACGGATTAAAGCGGGGATTCGTTTGAGTTTTCTTTTGGCAACTTTCTGGAAATCGAGTTGCAGGTTGTGCGACATTGACGTTCTGATCAGAATTAACTTGATTTTTTTTTGTTTGTTTGGTATTGCTGTCGACAGGGTTTCCCCACTCATGATGTTGAAGGCAAGGAGCTGAGCAAAGGACAGGCCAAGAAGCTGCGCAAGCTCTTCGAGGCCCAGGAAAAACTGCACAATGAGTATCTTCAGATGAACCAAAATGGCAACTGATTCTGTTTACAAACTATCAAACGCCATCCGCAGAATAAATGTTAAGGCCAGAGATGCCGGGTCATCGTTTGTCTCCCGTTAATCTGGTTCGGATCAGAAAGCAACGCAAGTGATGTTTTGTTTTGTTTTTCTCAGTGAGTTTCAGAATGACGGTTAAAATTGACTTCATAACCAAAGTCTGTGCATCATTTTTCATAATGGGAGAAATCGAAAACAAGGCGATGAGTGAAGTGAGGTTTAATGATGTGACAGTGTAGCAGAGTGCTGATGAGTCTCTGTCGGCACTCTGCTAACGCTGTCTTCAAACGTTTTATACATTAATGATGTTTTCGACTGAATCTCTGAAACACTGCCAGTAATTTAAAGGATTTTTTTATTGTATGATTTAAGCTTGGGAAATGGGGACTAACCTACAGGATATACAGATGGGTAACAAAGTAAAAGAAAAACCAACTTGAAAAGTCTTAGTAAGATGTTGTTCCACCATGAGCCTCTAGAACAGCCAGGTGTGCAACTCGGCACTGGAGGGATAAACACTGTTTTTCCGAGAGATTTTCCCTCCTTTGGTGCTTTGATGTCAGGTCGGGCTGAGAAGTGGAGACTGTGAAGCCTCTAGTAAAGATTCACATGGTTTTCACACTCATCAAGCTGTCCATGTTGCTCATTTATTCAGGTTTTTCCTTTTTAATTTGTCACCTGTCTGGATCTACAGTATATTTAGAGATCGGAATCGGCTGAAGGCATCGGGGCTGCAACTAACGATTATGTTCATTATCAGATTATCGGCCAATTATCTCTCTCGATTCATCGTTTTTTGTCTCTAAGATTTAAGTAAATAGTGAAAAATGCACGTTACAGTTTCCCACAACAAAATGAGATGCTTGTTTTATTTGACCAACAGTCCAAACACCAAAGATAGTTCAGTTGACTATCATATATGACTAACGATAGAAACAAATTCTGACATCTGAGAAGCAGAAAAGCAAATGTTTGGCGCTTTTGTTTGAAAAATTACTAAAACAATCGATCGATTATCAGATTAGTGCGGATAAAGATTTAGTCGATCGATTAATCCGCTTGTTCTTGCAGTTCTAAAAAGGCACCTTTTTTGAAATAAAAACAGTATTGGACCAATGCTGTTTTAGTCGAGTTGGCTTTTTTGTGTTGTTTTTTTCTTTTTTTTTAATCTTCTTTTCTAGTAATATATCTCTTTATGCAACCATTTAATTAGCAACTGATAATAAAGTGTGTGTGTGTGTGTGTGTGTGTGTGTGTGTGTGTGTGTGTGTGTGTGTGTGTGTGTGTTGGTCAATTACTGTGACTGGGCAGTGTATCTTAGGCTGAGATTGATGGTATTTGGTGAGTAGACTTGGGTCTACTCACCAAATACTGAAAAGAGAGCATAACATTTTCTGTTTCATTCCACTGATGTTTACCAGCTACTGTAAGAACGACTCTCTGTACTTAGAATATTTGAGTTAATTCAGTACTATATATTTTTCTTTTTTTTTCCTCCACATATTTGCATCAGCCGTAAGTGTTTTTGGTTCATTCCTCATTTCAGCTACATATTTGGCACATTTACTGGATTTGTTCAATCTTAAAGGATATGGCTATATTTTTATTTTATTGTTTTAAATCCCATGAGAAGACCAAAACCAACAATGCTTTCGTTTGTCTCTCTGTACTGACTGTCTGTGTCTCTCAGCCCCAAGCACAGTGTTAAAATATATATATATATATATATATATATATATATATATATATATATATATATATATATATATATATATATATATATATATATATATATATATATATATATATAATGAAGATAACAAATATACAGTTTCATAAAAAAAAAAGGTTGTCATTTCCTAAAACAGCTGGACACTGTAGTTTTTTGTCAAATAGGAGAAGGAGTTTGTTAGGGACTATTTTCTGTGGTGGTATAATACACATTTGATTCTGAGTCTTTCAACAATGAAGCTTAAAAATATATCAGACAGCTCTTGTCATTAGGATCAATTCATTGTTGGTTTTGATCTTTTTTTGAATGGGATTTGTTGATAATAAGATAAATAATAGAATAATACCAGACTTCTAATTTAAATCTGGGCAGCTGTTTTCTCATCATAACCCTCTGTCATGGCGTGGGTGAATCCACATGAAGAGGAGCTTTTTATCATTCAACCGTCCATTAGGGTCATGTGTAATTTTATTTTTTTTTTGTACTGTTTATGTTTTGCAATTTCTTGGCTATGTGAAGGCATGGCTGCAGTTAACGCTTTCAGAAGATGCTCAAATAAAAAACTGCTGTTCTTCCTTTCAAGAAATCGAACTGGTCATCTCTGTGAACTCTTCAGGGATGTCGACTCTTATCGGAAACCCCCCTGAGCAAGATAGTTGTTGATTATTGCAGAGACTGAAATAACATTGTTTAAGAGCAGCCAATGTAAATGGATGAATGGGTGTTTATTACTCCAATAAAAGGCATTTGAAATGGGACTTCAAATTGGATTACAAACTCCTTATTTTGAAATAAATGTCCAGATATAGATTTTTACTGATACAGCCATTAGTGATTAAACTGCACAATGTCAATAACCGCTTAAACAGGAGGATGAAGTATGTGTTTTTAATGTCCTGTGTTCCCCTCTGAGCTGATAGGAAACAGTGAGCTGTAGGTTTAGAGCCTGGTTAATTTATTTGTCAATAGGGGGGAGAAAAAAAGAGTATCTAATAAACAACATTTTGAGATACGTGGAAGGTCTCCAGTTTAAAGTTGATCTGGTGTCCAGAAATTGTAGATTCAAATTTTGATTTACTGTAAAACTGTTTGCATCAATCACTGAACTCACCCGGCCTGTATTTGGGACAGGGCTTTAATTCCTTTCGCACAAACCAGGAAATGGGTTACTATTAAATAAAGAATATTACATGTAAATGAATAAGAATAACAAACAAATAAAAAAATTAAGAATCATTTATTTGAATCAGAATCAGAAGGAGCTTTATTGCCAAGTAGTGTTTTGCTGTGTTGATAAGGTGCTACACGTAGACAAACATACAGTCCACATAAATAAATGTAGAAATATATAAATATGGAATGGAAGAACAACGTTGCAGATATATACATGTGCATTATTCTGGGTCTGTGCCGTGCAGAAGTAAAGCAACGGAAGAGAATATTGTGTACATATAAATATACAACAACAAAGATCAACAATCAACAACAAATATGTGCAACGTGCCAGGTCTGAGCCCGACACCAGATGAAATAGTATTTACATGTGCAGAGACATCTGTATTATTTGAAAAGGGGGGAGTGTCGGTGGGGGACCCGGGGCTTAATGAGGCTGCAGACGGGAAGAAGCTGTTTTTGTGGCGAGAGGTTTTGGTCCTGATGGACCGCAGCCTCCTGCCAGAGGGGAGAGTCTGAAACAGTTTGTGTCCGGGGTGGGAGGAGTCAGCTACAATCTTTCCTGCTCGCCTCAGAGTCCTGGAGGAGTCCAGGTCCAGAAGAGAAGGAAGATTGCAGCCAATCAGCTTCTCTGCAGAGTGAATGATGCGCTGCAGCCTGCCCTTGTCCCTGGCAGTGGCAGCAGCGTACCAGATGGTGATGTAGGAGGTGAGGATGGACTCAATGATGGCGGTGTAGAAGTGCACCATCACTGTCTTTGGCAGGCTGAACTTCTTCAGCTGCCGCAGGAAGTTCATCCTCTGCAGGGCCTTCTTGGTGAGGGAGGTGATGTTCAGCTCCCGCCCATTTGGCTCTGAGAAACAGCCCATCTAGCAGACAGAGAGAAAGAGGCCATAACAGTAAATCTGAATGAATTATACGTTGGAGCTCATCGGTGACTGTAAATGAACTGAACAATTAAATTGTAGAGAATGCAACCAAATGTGTAGCATATCCATATTGACAAAAGTTTAAACATTTCTATCTGAAGAAGACATAGACCTACTTTATTAATCCTGCATGAAATCTGTTATTATTATCATTATACACAACAGATCTGAAATACACACATGCAAAAACACACACAGAGAGATGTCAGAGTGAGGGGGCCGCCATGAAGTCAGGCGCCCCGAGCAGTTTGGGGTTCAGGGCAAAATTTAGAAGGTGAACTGGCACCTCTGCAGCTACCAGTCCACACTCTATCAATCTGGTTTGAACTGGATTTGAACCTGCGACCCACCAGTTTCCAAGCTGTCCACATTTGGTGTGTTTTTGTGTGTTTTCTTTATAGAAGTTCTTTGGATTAACTCGCACAGGAAGAGTTAAATCAGAAATACTTTATTGATCCCCGAGGGAAAATTCTTGTCACAGTTGCAGACATTGCACATCAACGTATAAAGGAATAGAAGTAATTATAGAAAGTTGGTAGATAAGGAAATACATAGATATTAGTATAAAGAGTATAAATATAAAATAAAAATATATAAAGGAGTGTGGCTATTTACAATATTTATATTATTAAAGAATTGTTATGGTGAACAGTAGTAGTGAATAAATAGTTGCAGAATTGTAGCAGAAAATATTGCACATAAAGAATTAAAAAGATATTATTGGACAAAACAGATAATAAGGTCCAGTTTAATAAACTAACTAAGGGCCTCTGTGTGTCAGACACTTAGAGGGAGGAGTTATAGAACTTGATGGCCACAGGCAGGAATCACAGTTTGTTGAGTGTTTTGGCGTCCGCTGCCCTCAACCTGCTGCCCCAGCATGCAACAGCAAACAGGACAGCACTGGCCCCCACAGACTCATAACACATCCTCAGCATCGTCCTGCAGATGTTGAAGGACCTCAGCCTTCTCAGAAAATAGAGACGGCTCTGGCCCTTCCTGTGGAGGGCTTGAGTGTTCGTGGCCCAGGCCAGTTTATTTTCCACGTACACTCCCAGGTATTGGTAGTCCTCCACAATGTCCACACTGACCCCCTGGATGGAAACAGGGGTCAAAGTTCAAAGCTGCGCGATCTAAGCAAACCAGGCTTCTAACTGAGTCTTCCATTTATTCATCAAAACGTGTTGCACACCAGGCCAGTGAAAGGGACAGGTGTCTAATTAGTACTAGGCTTTTAACTGAAGCTTAACGGTATGTTCACAATAACAAAGGGACAAAACAACCTTTATGTGAGAGGTTTGTTTATTCCCAACATGACATGTACATACAGTATGTTGGTGTAAATTTGTGGTTAGAAATCCCCAATTTAAGGTTTGAACTTTTATATTTAATGGAAAGAAAAAGGGTCAGCTGGGATCGGCTCCAGCCCCCCCGCGACCCTGTACACAGGATAAGCAGTTGACGATGGATGGATGGAAAGAAAAAGGGTGCTGTGCCTCTGTTTCCAGGTCATAAGAGGATACTGGTGTGGGTTTTTTTAATCATAACAAGGTAATATGTGGTAGCCTACAGTATGCAGCACAGATGTGGTGTTTTCCTTGTTTCAGATAGCAGGAAACTCATCGTTCAGACCTGATGGACCCAGAAGAAACTTTGCTCTGTAACTTAAAAATCTCAGGAGTTATTTGGTGTAAACTTGTTTAATGCTCTGTGACACATTACGCCACTTACCTTGACTGCTATATTTGGACAATAAAAACAGGAATTTATAAAAGATAAATGAACCCGTCAATAAATTGATTAGGTATCATCAGGATTATCAAAAGAATGTTGAATAATATGAATAAGTATATTTTTAAAAGATTAATAATAATTTAACATAATTATCGTCCTGCACCTGTGACCCACCCACACGCTGTCAGCCAATCAGGAGCGTCTACCACAGCTGTAGCCAATCAGATTTAACGGAGCGCTATTTAAAAGCGGCTCCTCTCGGTGTTGTTTATCTGCAGAAATCAGTGTTTACACGTTGTGCAGGTAACTTGTTCTGCTCGCTGCTTAAAATAAGTTGCTGTTGAGTCCGTTTGTTCTCGTTGCTGCAACATGTCGTCTGTGGAAGTTCGTGCTGCGGTGAGTAAACTGAAGTTATGTCGCTGTTTAAATGCGTTTAGCTTGTTAGCATCGTTAGCTAGCATCGTTAGCTAGCGTCACCTCCCGCTGCCCGTTTTGTCACTTTCGGTAGCTTCTACAAAGTTTCTGGATTTCGTTTTCTTTCTGTCAGCAGCTTCCAGCCGCAG